GAAGTGTAAGAGATAGATGTATGGACTGTACAGCACCGGACAAAATGTTCTCAGCCAGGTTTTAAAAGCACAATGTGGCTGCGGGGTAGAAACATTGAAAAAAAAAAACAAAAAAAAAACAAGCAAAGACTAGAATGCTGTGTGTAGTTGAAGGAGTGGTTAGACGTTTTGGGAAATGCATGTATTTGCTTTGTCTCCAAGAGTCAAATAAGAGGACTTGATACTGATCCCATGTCTGGTCATCTAATGTAATATTACAACCAGCAGCCAGTTACTTTAGCTTAGCATAAAGAGTGGAAACAGGGCGAAGCCGCTAGCCTGCCTCTGTCCAAACATTAAAAGAAACACAGAAAATCGTTCCATCAGCACCTCCAAAGCTCACGGACTGTCATATTACATCTTGTGTGTTTGATCTGTACAAAAACCAAAGTGTAAAGAGTTTTTCCAGTTTACTTGAGGTTATGTGCAGGATTGTTTCTTGGACGAGACTTTGACTTTGTCACTGTCCATTTATATTTAAAGCTCGGAGAGTGGTGACAGTCTTCCTTTTTAACTCTGGGCGAAAGAATTCTATGGAATTTTTCCAAAATGTCAAAATATTCCTTTAAGAACAGAGACAAACTTATGGTACTTCCACATTAGGTATGATGCCCACCTCTCCCAACTTTCCTCCAACCATCCATCACATCGTATTACTGTTATAATGTTCAAGTCTATTCATGTCATCATCCACGCTTGTATACACACAAAAGACGTGTGCCAAACACAGTCAGTAGAGTTCTTGTAGCAAACTTTACAGTGGAATTTTACTTGTAGGTTCCAATTAATGAAGCCACCACCTGGACGTTCTCCTCTCTTGGTAATCCACATTACAGAAAATCCACTGGACCACTTGATAAAGCTGAACTATTGACTTCAAGTTGCGCACAACAAAAAACTACCTGTACAAAAATGATTATTCATATAGACATTTAGCAAAATAAGAGACAAACATCCATCCATTATCTGTACACTGCTTAGTCCTCACTAGGGTCACGGGGGGGCTGGAGCCTATCCCAGCTGACTTAGGGGAAGGCAGGGGACACCCTGGACAGGTCGTCAATCTTTCACAGAGCTACACTTAAGAGACAGACAACCAAGCACACTCACATTCACACCTACGGACAATTTAGAATCACCAATTAACCTCAACATGTTTTTGGACTTATGGGAAGAAGCCAGAGAACCCGCAAAGAACCCACGCTGCACGGGGAGAACATGCAAACTCCACGCAGAAAGATCCCGGTGCCCCCATCGGGACGTGAACCGGGGACCTTCTTGCTATGAGGCAACAGTGCTAACCAACTGCGCCACCTTGCAGCCCTAAGAGAAAAACAGAGGTTATAAAAAAAAAAAACTGACTAACTGGCCACAACTCCAATAAAGGTGCACCGTAACTGATAAGCAATGATCACAGCTGCAAGTTGCATAAAACATTTTAAATCATGTTTACGTGCAGGAAATCCCATTTTCAACTTACTCTATCACTGTAAAAATGGAATATATATACATCCACATCAACATTCTGCAATTTTTGCTTTTAACTCCTCTTAAATCAGTTTGAAAAATTCTTGTTTTGTCATGAACTTAAATTGTTGCGTTCAAATTGTTCAAACGTCAACCTAAATGCATTTCGGCTCCTATACAACTTCACATTGCTGCTGCTTTTGTTTCATATGCACAGACATAGAAGACACCCAACAAACCTACCTGTCTTCAAACCTTGTCTCTCAGATGCAAGTGTCGACATCTGTTAAAAACCATGACAGACAGTGCAGTTATCCTGACATTATATCCTCAACAGTGGTGCCCCAGCCAGCAGACACAGACTACCTCTTAAGTTTTTATCTCTGAGGATGCAAAGCAAGAAAAAGCACTAACATGGTTCCACTTCTCTTGATAAATCACCAATTCAAGCACATAACCTGCTACTCATTTATGGATTGGAACAAATGCTGTTAGTTGCACTTTAGTTTGGTTTTTGGTTGTCACCATGTCAGAGATGATACAAAAATACTGCTCTCAAAGAAAAGATGCCAGTATCTGGCCTCAAAGAGGAATCTTCTGGTTAGCAATCTGCTTCTTTAAGCCCTGCGCTACAACCCAAGCTGCCCACCTGTTGCTTCTACCTACCCATTGTAATAATTCCGGTTCTAGTCCCAAGTGGCGCACTTTTAACATACTTTTAGTACAGCTAGCTATCTCATCTCTATGCATACTGCACCCAAGTACCACTGACATGAACCTGACTCTGCTTTTTTCCAGACATTTGCACAACATTCCAGTTTGGTGTCATGAAAATGTTTGTGAATAGAACACAAATTAGAAAACGATATAGTAATCCTGAAGTGGTGTGCATATGATACACATTTTGCTCCAAATAAATCAGACACTAGATTCAAAGATTGGACATATAAAGGACTTAAACGGCATAATGCAAGGTAATGAAGGAAGGTACACTGCTTAGTTTTGAAAAGATTAGAGAGAAATATTCATTGGAACCACAGGATTTCTATCGTTACTTACAGATGAGACATTTTGTCAGTGACAAGATTAAATATGTAGCAGAACCAAGCAAACAGCTGTTAGACCTATTTAAAAGGGTATATGGTTCAAACAAAGAAAGAGGGTCTATATAAAGGGCTTATAAACATGAAAACACATTCAACCCTATACATTAAAACAAAATGGGAAATGGAGGGAGGAATACATACAACAGAAGAAGAGTAGATAACAATATGGTCATATCAATGGAAATGTAACAGTTCACAGATTTGGAGGGAGTGTGGCTGGAAAAGCCTGATAAGATATTTTATTACACCTTGCCAAAAATCTCACTATGAAGATAACACCCCAGCTTGCTGGAGAAATTGTGGAAATACAAATGCAAATCATTATTTTGTTTTTTGGGAATGTCAGGTTATTAAAGCTGATTGGAAGGGAATCCATAATGCAATTCACAAAGTTTTTGGAAGTCACCTGCCTTTGGAGATCAAAATTGTATTTTTTGGACTCATGCCTGAGAGATGGCCAAAGAGAGACAAATACTTGTTTAGTATTTTGTTGGTGGAAGGCAAAAAGGCCCTTACGAAAAAATGGCTGTCAAGGGAAAGCCCAACTTTGAACATGATGGACATTTACAGGATGGAGAGAATAACAGCAGATGTGAATTACAAGAGAGCCCTTTTTGTTTCACGTTGGAAGAAGTGGATGGACTACACAATGCCACGTAGGCCGGACTTTGACCCTGCTAATTTTAAATAAAATATTATGTATGTAGCAATAACTGCATCCCACTCCCTTTATGTTGAGGTTCTTTTTCTGTTTTTCCTTTTTATGCTCTTTTTGTCCTAAAAAAAAAAAAAAAGGGACATTCAGGCTGATATTTTGTGACTAATAACTAAAGCAGATGTACATACTACATTTGTCGCTGAATGTCAATAAAAAATAATAATGTAATAAGAAAATGTTTGTGAATAATATATTCTCTCACTTTTGCATGATATTTTAACCCCTTAAAATGACTTGTTCCTTAAGGGTTTTGCTATTTATACGTTCTCCCAGGATTTCAATGTTAAATGTTCACACTTAGCTAACATCCTGGACTCTGGGCTCAAACATACTCGGATACGGTGCGGGAGGAATGAGTGTGAAAGCATCCTTAGTAAGCAGTGTCATTACAGAAGGCACTGTATCCAACAAAATCAATACTAATTTTCCTTTTTTCCTGGAGAACTTTTATCAAAGTCATTTACTCACTTCACAGTTGACTGCCATGCAAACAGCAATGATTGATTTAATGGGAAAACAAAGGCCCTGATCTTATAGAATCACAAACTAACAAGCCAAGCCAAATATTCACAAACACAGACCACTTAGTGCACAGACTGTCAGAAAACCGGCGGAAGCTAAATGGGTCTTTTTCTCTTCTTTTTTCTTTTCATCACTTATATAAAGAAGAGTCATTGCATAATACGTTTTTGTTTTTCTTTTGTTTTTTAAGTTGTCTGAATTCTCTACTAACACTGAAAATGTGGGAAATGCTGCAGACGGCTTTCCTAGTAATTAAGGCAAGTGAACTTCTGTCACTGTCTGGTCTTGGCTCACCTAAAGTCATGACAAGGACAGAAGCTGGCAAGTATCAAAGGGGGAATGTGAGCCATGTTGCAGTGAAATGCGGTGCGCTGACCAGAATATGAGATTTAGCTGCATGTTTGGGATGCTGGGAATGTTGATAGATGTGAACAATTCAGTGCATCGGATTAGTTTACTGCAGATTTACAATAAAACAGAAATGGCACTTGTACAATTAATAGAAATTTTAGTGGAAAGAACCAGATTTATGCCATTCATGTTTGTTGAGACAACAATTCACGCAATTTTAATATTAAAAGATTAAAAAGATGAGTGAATAACTTTTTTTTCTCACGAATCATGTTCGTGTCCTCCAACCCTACAAAAAACACTGCAGTTTGAGTTATGTACAGTAGAGCCGTCACAGTGGGTTTTAAATACACAAATGTCCACTGATTTCCATTGCTTCTTAATCAGATTTTCTTCAGATGACTCGTGAGTGAACTAATCTGTGGGTTCAGACAGTCAAACATGCACTTTTGCTGAGTCACTGTGTGGTCTTCATAAAACTCAATCGCTGCTTTAATTATCACACAGGTGGATTTCATATTAGGATGTGCAACCATTGCTTCGTAGGGGTCAAAATATGAAAGTACAAAGTGCTGAATTGTTCCAGGTGGCAAAATCACTTGTTGCAGTGTCCCACTGGAACTAATAAGGCAGTCCATTTTCACCCTCTAAATCCCCTGCATTGGCTAAAATGACTGATTTACAGCTAAGACATTGACCAAAACTCACATAATTATATATGTATTGTATTTTACTCTTGTACAGCTGTTCCGTGTGAAAAGTTTCCCATCCCGTTCGCTCAGTGAACATAGGCCTGCATGTATGAAGTCTCCCAGGTGAGAGTCCAAAAAATCTGTTTTGGCTCATTAGGAAAATAATCAGATTTGAGGCTTGGAGTCTGTAACAATTCTGATTTAAAGTGTGGTTATCAAGGCACTGGTGTCAGCTAAAATTAGTCTCACTCGTGGTGTCACAAGGGCTCAGATATACAGGGGAGATTTAGAAAGGGAGCGCCAGATGCTTTTACCCCATTTTGTGCGTTCAGTCAGTCATTTTTTTCAATTTGTGATTTCATCTGTACATGCAGCAGCAGTGAATTCAGGGGTGAGTGTAACATTCGTTCCATGTTTCCATCCACACTGTCTCGCTGATTTGAGTTACAGAATAGTGAATCTGTCATAAAGCGGCACTCACACACTCATATGATACAGTGATACAGTTTTTGTCACTGTAAGTGTTTCTCCTGTTTGTTCCATATGTTGGTTTCTAAGACCTCCCTTCTTCATGTGCTTCTGATGTGTGGGATTTAGGAAAAACTCCACAGAAATTTCCGAAAAATGTTATCGAGAAGCTAAATAAACTGGATATCCTCCAAATCGTGTCTTTTTTTAGATTAAATTCTCTCTTATTACATTCTGAAAGTAAGAAAAATCATCTTCAGTGGCACCTGAATGGCATCTAAAAATGTATTTAATTAAAAAAAATAAATGTACACTTCATTCACTGCCACTTTAAAATAAATCAGTGCCAGCTGTTCAGACGTATTCCTGACAGTCATCGTTCAAAGTGTTTATTCTCTAACAGACAAACATGCAACAGTCATCCTCCCTGGAAGGAAATCCTGTTGCTTTGTTGTCACAGAGAATAATTACGAAATAACTGCATGATGTACAGTATGAAGCCATGTTGTGAAAGTAGCCCACCGAGGCATGAGACACACTATGACAAAATCAAACCAGGATTGTGAAAAGTTATGGAAGAGTGATTGTGAGCGAGAGTATTTCTATCCATGGCAAAGGCTTTAGATGTTATGTGAAAACCATTCTGTGTCATGTGTTCACATGGAATACATATTACTTACATATGTAGGATGAAAAAGCACATCGAGGTCTGTCCTGGGGGACCACCAAACAACCTCTAACCTGCAGTCAGGGAATAAGTTAATGTAACTGTAGATTTTCTTAAGAACATGAATATTTCCAAAGGGACATTTCTGTATGTAGAAAACAAAGTCAAATGTGCATTTTACATGACAGTACAGTGATATCAGGACATGTGCAGGAATGAGATCAATGATTCTGAACAAATGCTTCATTTAAATACTTTGTGGGTCTAAGTTGCCTATTAAGCCACAAATAAGCTCATTTCTTCCAGGCAGATTTTAGTTTATATCAAATCTTTCATCGTATAGAGCTTTTAATTACACATTCAACTTATTGATGAATGCAGTCTTTGTGAATTTGCAAGCGAATAGTTGCAGGCTAAGTGTCCTAACAAGTATTCAGTTTCAACTTGGCTCCAGCCTGAACGCTCCGCCTGCTCTCGCGGAGGATATTGACTTTCCCGCAAGTTAAAGTATTTAAATGTAGAGGGAGACAGATGCTGTATGTGGACTGGAGGCAACCACAAGAAATACACGTGGGAGGAAGCTTGACGCTGGAGCTTTACTATCTACGCATCTTATAAAGAGACAGCAGTGGCAAACATTGCTTTAACTTCTTTTTATGAACAAACAGAACCGCGCTGGTACTCGTAAGATTCATTCAACTCCCCCCCCCTATTTAATAACTCTCCTTTTTAGGAAATTCACAGTGCGCAACTGCTGCGTAAAGAACCGTGCGTAAAACTGAAAAAATCTTCACCACTGCTGTCAAAACAAATCAGGGGGGATTTGTTTCTCCTTAAAACCTTTATGGACGAATGACTGAATGACACAAAGAGGATTTGATGGAGGTGGTTCGGTGACAGCGACATTCTCCGGACTTTTGAAAGTTTGGATTAGGACCGCAACGCCTTTAAATCTTCTGAAATTTTCAGTAGAGTGGAGAGCGGATTCTGTCTACCTGCATGGGACCCTGACATTTTTGGATCTCTTAATTGTCACGGGAATCATTTTCTATGTGTAACAAGACTGGGATAAAAACTGATCTGAAATCCCCATCAGGAGGAACTTTATTTCCTTGAGCTTCCAGCACCGAATCAGTGGAGTATTCATGAAGCAATATTTGAACTATTACAAGATGAGGCTGAGAACATCGAGGTTAGGTTATCTGTAAGTAACGAGATGTCAACATAATAAAGCTGTGTGTACCTCATTAAAATTTCAGCAACAGGTTTGATTAAAAAAAAAAAAAATAATAATAATAAATTGCTTTTTTTTTTGGCTGCAGGTTACTTCAGTTCACGGCGCTTTGTTTTTACGCACAGGTAACTCACATTTTCACGTCAATAAAAACCCAGTAATGTTGCATAAAGTTCTATGGGCTAATTAATTTTAGTAAAACTTAACAGGTATTCAGGCACAGAGCTTAGCGGCTTACAGACCACCGTCTCTGAGTCTCCAATAGGCTGCAATAACAATGAAAACATTTTATTATGAGCGCTATAGCAATTGGCAACAATTCAAACATCTTGAAAAGAGGTAAGCTCTGGCCTTAAAGGTAATTGTTAAAACATATGTGGATGGAGAACGGCTGAAAAGAGGAAAACGAAAAAGAAAAAAGAAAAAAGTCAAGAAGGGGTGAAAGATCATTGGTGGTAGTGAAATGTCATCCACGAGGGTCCTTGAAAGCATCTCCAAAATACGCAGACTGCAAATTTAAGAACACAAAGCAGGAATGGTTTATTTTAAATATGATGAATGACATAATGAAGTGCGGTCCATGCAGGGCCTGGGCTCCTTTGACTGACAAGCTTTAGTCTCCTCACAAGTTCACATGATTGTTTTCAGGCATGTAAAATTGTGCAGCATTTAAAATAGAAAAAAAAGAAGAAGTCATATGTCAAATTACTTGACATGTGTTTTCTATTGTCCGGCAGAACTCTGTGCAGTCTCCTCCTAATTTCAAGCACCATGTCACCGAGCAGAGCCGGCTGTCGGATCGGATGAGCCGCAGGCTGACCAGAACCTACCAGCTGTACAGCCGAACCAGCGGGAAACACGTCCAGGTCCTGGCCAACAAGAGGGTCAACGCCAACGGAGACGACGGAGCGGTGCACGGTAGGAAAGCAGCGACCGATGGACAAGAGCAGCAAGGAAGCATGCGTGTTAGAATTGCAAATATGTAATAATCTGCATGTCCATTTAAGCTATTTAAGTAAATTTATAGGAGATGGATGCAAAATATCGTGAGGATTTGCCTTAAAATTGAGTTTAACCTCCCCCATACCATAACATATTTAAAACGCAGTATCATGTGTAATAAGCACGCAGCTGACCGAAGCTCCACATGTGTAAATCCATTCAAGGGAAGCACTTTTTATTGTCTGTGAAATGATGAAGCCCGTGCGTAATGGCCATATCGATCAGTCTAAAAGGCCATCCTTTCAGAAAAAAAAACAGTGAAATGCGAAACATGTTCACATTAAAACACGAAATCTGCTCAAATTCAATAGCGCTGAAAAGCATAGTAAATTATGTAGCCTTTGGCAGCCTATAGGAAAAAGCAGGAGCCAGGAGAAACAGTAGTAGCAGTTGTAAACATCGTTAGTGGCATCAGTGCTGCCATCTTTTATGGCCTCTTGCACATAATTTATTTCTTCACAGTGCTGGTGGTCTAGAAAAGTCCTTGACACCTGTCATGATGGACTTAAAATTTCCCCTTTTACTTCTAGAAAGTGTGTGTGTGTGTGTGTGTGTGTGTGCGTAATTCCTGTCACCAAAAAAAGACTTTGGTCTGTCTAGCCATCTTTCCACCATCATCCATCCCCTTCTCAATGCCTGCTGTCTGCTTCTTGGAGGCAGATGTTATGAGGAATTTTCATTGCTTTACAACTCAATGTATGACTCAATTTATAAGGAGCGGTGAAGTCAGCATCTTCACTTTATACCTTTTCCTCTCCGTGCCTCTCCTGTGTGCACTTTTGTCTTTTAAATTTCTCTGCCTAGACTTAACATTCACACAGAGAGAGGGAGAGAGGAGGGAGTCAGTCATGCATACACTGGCTACATATCCTAAGTGGGTGTCACTCTTGTAACTGGCCCAAATCTGACCGTTGCTCTGTGCTTGTGGCTGTGTCTCTGACCGCAGTATTCTCACTCTCCTTTATTCCTCAGTCTGAGCTGCATCACAGCACAGCATTTACAGACGTTCAGAAACAATCGCGCCGTGCGAAATCACTATCATTTGATGCTATTTTGGAAGGCCTGCATGCTTTGTTAAAGGTGGCTGTCGGATCATAAAAAGGGTTAAGAGGGAATTTATATGTCATCTTTCCCAACTCTGGGCGACTCATTTCAGAACAATTTAATGCCATTTAAAGATGACACCATCCACTTTATTACAGCCTCTGCCATGCATAAAGAACACATTGAGAGGGAAGAAGGGCAGAGCTCATTTGTCTCACGTACTCTAACATCATAATCTGTACGCCTGCACCATTGTCAGAACTGTGTCATCTCATTATTTGTGATTTGTTTTGTCTGTGCAGCTAAACTGGAAGTGGAGACGGACTCTTTTGGAAGTCGTGTTCGTATTAAAGGGGTGAAGACAGGATACTACATATGCATGAACAAGAGGGGGAAGCTGATTGGCAAGGTAATCTGGAATTCATAGTTCTGTGGCCACATAAGGCTACAGCAACATCTTGAAGTTTGTCCGTTTCTTGGAAATGCTATTCTAGATTTGCAGCTTATGGCGACACATTTTTGAGACACATTTGAAGCCAGAACAAATTAGATTTTGAGATTTGTCTGAGCAGCCCTCCTAAGGTTTCAAAGTCGATTTGATTGTCTGGGGGAAAAAAAAGGATGATGTTTTGTGCTTGCTGGAAATCATCCAGAATGTCTCAGCTTCTCCCCACTTTTTTTTTTTTCTCTCTTTCTTCCTATCCCAGCGGAAAGGACGAGGCAAAGACTGCATCTTCACCGAGATTGTTCTGGAAAACAACTACACGGCCCTCCAGAACGCCAAGTACGAGGGCTGGTACATGGCTTTCACACGCAAGGGCCGTCCGAGGAAGGCCTCCAAGACCAAGCAGCACCAGAGGGAGGCCCACTTCATGAAGCGTCTACCCAGGGGGCACTTGCTAAGCGAGAGGAGGCCGTTTGATGTCCTTCCTCTGCCTGTCCCCGCGCACCCTTTCAGCAAGCGGACTAAACATTCCCATCACCAGCACTTGGGGGAACGCTGAGGACTGAAACCGCTGAGGGAGAATTGTGAATGAACTGGCACATAGGAACCACTGCAAGAGAAAACATGTGCTTGAGAGCAAAAATTATCTTTTACAGTCAAGTGCCCATACACTTTATTTGCCTCATTTGTGGACTTATTATGTAATTCTTTGTACTGGATTGTATGTAAACATTGACTATCTAATCTGCTAGTTATTTCCAATTCAGACAGACTGTAGGAAGGAGTTTTTCTTGTTAAATCAGGGGGCATTTAAAGTACTGAAGAGCGCAACAATAATGTCATGAATGAAAACCTTTGTTTAGAAGTTAGCCAGCTCAGCAACAAAGAATGTTTATAAGTGAAATGAGTATAATGAAGCTAGACATGGCAGCTATCTGTGGTTACAGCATCTGAGCCTCAGTTGACATGCTATCTTGCCTTTAGGAGGCCATTTTGGAGAATATGTAACCTGCTTTTTTTTTTTTACATATATGAATATATTTTTACTGTAAAAATGTAAATTACATCAAATGATGGAAATATTTATTGTAGAGTGTATATTAAAACCACTAAAGAATCAGTTCACAAGCTGTTTGGCTTTTTCTCTTGTGTGGTTGTTTTGGGATGGAAAGCTAGCATACAATGTTTGTTGCCCCCCAAAAAAACTGTTGTTTTTTTTTTTTTTCCTCCGTTTTCTTCAAGCCGGAGACCCAGATAACTGAGGGGCAATATCTGTGACAGGCTACCGAATTCAATGTGCTCAGCAAGTGAGACTTGGGCCTGAATGGCCTGAGCTATGCATTAAAAGCGATGAGGTCAGCCCACCATTTTGGCCCAAACAAAGGTTACCACCATGTAGTTGCATTTCTCACGATCGCACACCGTAACCCTCTGATCAAATGGGCCCTTTGTGAAACCTCATATAAAAGGGCATGTTATACAATAGTGGGTTCGAATAATAACACGAGGAGGGGTCAGTTATCAAAAAGAAGCCAGTCACACAGGGAGGGGTGAAGGGGTTTGGAGGGGGCTGAGCAGGGAGGGGGAGGCTGTGCGAAGAGGGGCTTGTAGAAAAAGCATCAGGGTCTGTGTGGCAAAATGTGGCATCGACTGAAAGAGGGGGAATGGCTGGGAAGAGGCATTCGGGAGTGAAAGGGAGGCAGAAAAGAAACCCTCTTCCCAGAAGCAGTTGAGCATGACCATCAGAGGCCAAATGACAGGGGAGGAAGAAGACCCTGAACAGAGGGACTCTGCTGCTCTCACAATGCATGAACTGGATGTCCAATTTGTTAGTTGGTGTTTGGGACTTGAATTTGTTTTGACAGCAGCTCGAGCTCAGAAGACTAAAGTATTATAGAAAGTTACCAAAATTAAAACCTCACAGCAAACACTTATTTAATGCGTCAACTCAACAGTAGAAACTTCTTTTGTATAATTTAAAATCAACAGCAAATTTTCAAATGAAAAACACTATCCAACCAAGTATGTATGAATGTTTTTTTGTCATACCACAGTTTAAATAAAATAAAAATAAAAAAATAAAATCAATCACTCAATCAAGGCCCTCATAAGAATTTACAAAACAACAGGACGGACTGGTTTAAAATGTTTGCTTGTATACTGGTCTTTCCATCTGAAAGAAGACAAAGCACAATAGTGAGAGCTACTTGTGGTTTTGTCCGTGCTTTTTGTCACTTGCTCTCTGGGTTTGGCTAAGTGGCAAAAAATGCAAGGAATCGTGAGGTTGAAACAATCTATATTTAAATGCCACTGTCTCATTTAAGCAGTACTACTCTTTTTTTATCCACTGTCTAAGTATTTCTGACTGGACAGAGTTCTTTTTTTTTTTTAATGAACTTATTAAAAAAAAGTAGACAAATATCAAACTTTAATTATTTCTCTCTTACATACTATACAGTAAATGCACAAGGAATTTCATATGTCAGATGCAAAATATCAACTTTTATAGTCCTTCCTGTTGATCAAAGTCATTTTGAAACAAAACTCTGCAACATCTAGTTCTAACCTCGTATCTACATAGCGTTTTAGCTGGGGACCAGTAAGTCAGAGTGGCCCTCTGTTGTAATGGGAAACGGTAACACTAGTTTCAGTAATGGCTTTCAGGGTGGCCCACTACATGCAAGGAACATGAGGGTATTCATTTAACACAAATGAGATGTCCTCGTAACTGTGACCTTGGAATGAACAGGGATGAAGCATTGTGTGTTTTGAGTGTTTAACAAGGACATCAGTGAAAGGAAGGTGGTAGGTTCTGTGACCCCCATCAAAATTAGTCCATGGTAGGTTTGTTTAAAAGAAGCAAAAACATAAACTGTTGTGGTGCAATTTAAAAATGATTTCACTGTCAAAGGAATAATTTGGGGAAAACATTCTTGGTTCAAAAACAAAGTTAATAAATCTTTTGCAAAAGGCTATGAATATATCTGCCTTAAATATAAATTGATGGACATTGTTCAATAATAATAACTCATGGAAATATGCCCAGATTACTTAAAAGAATCAGAACCATTAGGATAGTGACAAAGCACAGAGAATCTTAATGAAGGGATTTAGTATAGAAAGATAAACGAGAGCTCACATGTGGCTTAAATGCAATGCGGAATTATTTCCTCGCTCACAGTCAGAATTCACTGAGTTTTGCAGTCAACATCCCCTTCGGCGGTCCCCTTTAGTTTCTTCAGCTCCTTCAGTAGCTCCTGCTCATGGGTTAAGACCTCTTTGGGCTTCTTGTACTAAACAAGTGAGAAGAAAAACATGTTATGTTTGCATTGGCCACTTTTTTCACTGCAGTCATGTTAAAGGAATGTAAAAAACAAACAAACAAAAGTACAAGTAAAAGAGCAATTATTGTTGGCATTAAAAATAACTGAAGGCATGAAAAATGGAGCACAAACTTGACAAAAGAAAAATCCCCCCCCCATGATTTGCACAAACCATATCAACAAACAAAGTTAAACTGGCTACATGTATTTTTTGAAAATGAGGGTGATAGTTTGTGGGAGATTCTCTTTGAATCTGTGGTATATAGAGATTTTTTTTCCAGATACTTTTGCAATTATTTATATTGAACAGATAATGATCTTTAGGTTTTTGCATTCAACATTTTAGCTACAACATGTATTTAACAATCAACCTCTAATTTGTACATTGTTGAACTTGAATGATTAAGCTACATAACATTAGAGATGTAGATTCATTTATTTTTCATTGTTGTGCAAAACTTACGTTGACAATTAAAGTGTTGTTGGCATGAGTGAAGCTGAGTGCAGAGCTGTCCAATGGCAGCTGACTTCGATCGAGATCAGGAACACTGAACTTCTTATAATACCTGAGAAGACATGAGGAAGATGATGTGAATCTATCATGTAGCTGTACCATGCAGGCAAATGTATTGTAAACAGTGCCATCTATAGGGCAGACACAAGGATTGCATGCAACTAGTGTGCAGGAATGAATAGTTGGTCGGGGGAAAACCCGTGTTCTCCTGCATATTCACTTTTTGTTTGAGGTTTTTATGATGATGCATCTTTCAGACGGCTCCACTAAAACACTGAAGACATCTTTGGGGTAGGAAAGGTTGCGGATTCTCCACTGAAAGCTGGTCTTTGTGTCTTTGCGCATGAACACAGGCTGTTGAAACACAAACAATCACAACAATTTTACAAACCCAATGATTCAAATGTACTGCTCAGATCAAAATTATGGAATTAAAAAAAAAACAAAAACCCTACGTTAGAGCAGTTCTCCTTGATTACATCAGATTCCAAAGATGCAACAGGGCTTAAAAGTGGCTCCCCAACCTCTACCTGCCACTGGCCCGGTGCTCCAAGGGTGCTTTTATGGCGCCACTTTCGTACTGAAACATACCAAATGTTATACAAGACACATACTCATCCTGTGTATTGAAATTTATAATAACGTTCTAAATCTTTGCACCAGAATTGCTTACCAATGAGCTCATCTGTTTTCAAGTCATACTCTTCTGCCATTTCTTTTCCATCTGTAAAGAGGTAGTGGATTTTCCTTTTTCCTGCAGGAAGAATTTGGGATTTTTTAAAACATATTTTTTGTTTTTATGTCAAAAAACAAGACTGGAATGTGTTTCTAGTTTTGCACAAACAACTCAACTATATAAACGACTAACCTAGCAATAAATGTGATCAGGATAAAAGCATGTAAAACTTGCCTTCTGCATGTATTGTGATTTTATCAAATGCAATAATAATTTTCATAAAAAAGATCTGTCATTTTAACACAGTAACTTTGTTTAGGGGATTTTTTGAACTTATGGATTGTGGCATTTGGATTGCCACATAATACAAATGTAATTCTTTGATAAACCATTCACGAAAAAATGAAATATAATATTGTAGCTTCTTAGGCTTAATATTTAGTATGGTCATGTAAAGTTGTGTTTAAGCTCATGTTCCGTTAATTTCACATTTTTACTGGAAAGCACATTGGCTCAACAGCTGTTGCTTGAAACGTGTCATTTACATAACAGTGATTTGGTTGGACTTGACTAAAAGCATCTTTTTGTTGTTGTTGTTAAAGTGGCAAGCATGGAAAGCCTCATTCATTAGAGAGATGCGACAGTTTATGCAATTAAAATAAAATGCTTAACTAGTTTGTTACACTTAGAGAGCAGTAAGTTACACAGTACATTATCATTGAGGGTTTAACATCTCAAATATTGTCCTATTTGGCGACTAGTTGTTAACATAATTGAAAAACGTCGTTTACTAGATCAATTTTAGTGTCTATTTTTGCAAGGCTAGCGTGTGTGACACAGTACAAGACCAGTTGTGCCTTCTGCTTGTTGCCTAGTAACATTTGTTAGCTGCAAAGCTAGCTAGCAAGCTGAGTTGATGAAGTTAACTACGTAACGTCAGCAAAACGAAACTAATTCTGACGAGTTTGCGAAGCCATTCTTTCAGTTATAAACCGGTTTTCTTCGTTGCACTTACCGTCGTGCATCAACGCCGTTTTCTTGCATGACTTTAGGATATCAGTCCAGCTCTGAACAGCCATGTTTCTAAAAATGCTAGGCCACTTCCGGGCTCGATTTGTAGTTGCAGCAACCGTGGTCAGACAACAAAATAAAAAGCTCAGTTTTTATAGAGACCGTTAGATTTTATCACTGGAAATGTTGCTAAAATTTAAATGTGATGTGTAAATTTCGGAAATAATTTAGGTTCATTTTAAGAAAAAAATAAACCAACAGCTTAACCCGGAAGTGAAACAATTGAATTGAACGCCCCCCCCATGACAGTTCCTGTACGTATGGTACCTTCCAAACAGGGGTAAGAGCCAAAATATTAAGCGTTCGGGAGTTTTCGACTTCAAATGTGAAATCATATTGGGGAAAGTTGAGTTAGTTAAAGCATGGTCAGTATATTTCGTGAAAATTGTATATCAAACGGTGTATTAACCGACTGTTTGCTGTTCCTAACGTTAGCTTAAGCTACAGGTAGCTAGCTCAGACTGTATTTTGATAACACAGATTGATTTGTCAGCGTTCCGAAGCAGAATTAACTGCTATGCCACGTAGCTGTATAACTAAACAAGCCGAGACAATTTCCTCTTTTCCCCTATGCCTATAGTCAGATATAATACTATATATCAGCATTATAAAGTACACACCAACATCGAGAGAGGTTGTTGCAAAGCAGTTTGGTTGTTGTTGTGTCGTATTGTACTGCACTGTTTTGTCATAGCGGTTAGTTAAATGTAAATTATTCCAGTTATGACAGATCAGACAGATCGCAGAGGTGTAAGGACACAAAGTACATAAGTACTGCAGTTTTTGACTTGAGTATTTCGACTGTACGCTAATTGACTGCTCCTATATTGTTACAAGGGAGTTGCTCCACTGTTGCAAATATAAAGACAATTCAAATTAAATTTTTCATATTTAAATTACTCAGTTAAATTCACATCATAAATCACGCTGTGGGGTATCAACTTCAATATTTTTTTTGCTGGGAAGCACCTTGGTGCAGACAGTCATTGAAAGTGCCATATAAATAAAAATGACTTGATTTGACTTCATTGTACCATGACCACATTTTAGACAGAAATATTGCACTTCATTTATGTGAAAGCTACAGTTGGAAGTTTCCTTTCAGGTTAATACCACACCTTTAACATACATGATTATATTCAGAATTATAATGCACTACAGATTAAAATATCTTGTAGTGTTTTAAGTGCTTAGTAATTTGCTTTCTTGACAACTTCAGCCTTAAAATGCAACTTACACAATTGTACATTGTAATCATAACCCATTCTGATACTACTTTGTATAGTAAATACTTTTGTGTCTGATAATGAAATACATTTTGGTGATAGTACTTTCACTGAAGTATGTTATTGGATGCAGGATCTTTTTAATGTAGTATTGCTACACTAGGGGCTGCAGGGTGGCGCAGTTGGTAGCACTGTTGCCTCGAAGGTTGCCGGTTCGCGTCCCGGTGGGGGCACCGGAATCTTTCTGCGTGGAGTTTGCATGTTCTCCCCGTGCAGCGTGGGTTCTCTCCGGGTTCTCCGGCTTCCTCCCACACAGTCCAAAAACATGTTGAGGTTAATTGGTGATTCTAAATTGTCCGTAGGTGTGAATGTGAGTGTGCTTGGTTGTCTGTCTCTAAGTGTAGCCCTGTAATAGACTGGCGACCTGTCCAGGGTGTCCCCTGCCTTCGCCCTAAGTCGGCTGGGATAGACTCCAGCCCCCCGCGACCCCAGTGAGGATTAGGCGGTGTATAGATAATGGATGGATGGATAGATAATGGATGGATTGCTACACTAACATTACCAAATCTAAATACTTTAGTAAGTCACCACTGTTAAAATTAAAGTGTTAAGTTTTAAATTACTGCCGAATTCAAAATATTAAAAATAGACGTCACACTAGCACACAAAACTTTGGTTTATCAGATTTTGTTAGTTTTTCTTTTTTTTTTCTTCTTGATTTTTTTTCCTTTGAGATATCAAAGACTACTTGCAACATTTGGAGTGTAGAATATGTTAAAAGATCAATATCTCAAACTCACTGGAAACATTTCCACCGTATACAATATATACCTACTTTTGTCAGTTGTAGGAAGTGAATGTGCAACATAGTAAGCACTATTATGTTTATCGCAGTCTTACACTCCGCCGTTATTCAGAAGTAATAATTTTCTTTCTTGCCACAGGCCACTGGCTCCCCCCTTCAACAGACAAGATGGAGCCTCGTCACGGGATCATGAAAGCTTTCCCCAAAGTTAAAAGGGCCAAAGTGCTACCGGCAAAGGATGCACCTCCACTGAAGAAGAAACCAGACGAGTGTGATATCACAGGTTATTATTGTATTTGAATGTGTGTGTGTGTGTGTGTGTGTGTGTGTGTGTGTGTGTGTGTGTGTGCATTAAAGAGGAATGAATGGAATAAATGAAAGCTGAAGTAGCAATATATAATGTGTGAGAGCAATGGATAGAGAAAAAACACTGCTTGCACAAAAGCATATGCCAGATAATGCAACATATTCACTTACTCTAATTTCTTTTGCTCTAGGAAACACTTTTAATGGAGTCACAGTTTACCTTCTGCCTGCTGGAATAGGAAATGCCAGATGCCAGATCTTCCAGAGACAAATTCAGCAGAATGGTGGACAGACAGAGAGTTCCTTTTCTCCCAGTGTCACTCACGTTGTCGTGGATGACAACATGGACAGTGGCAGGGCTCTGCGCCTGCTGAAAGTGGATTGTATGCCCCCTGGAGTCCAACTGGTGAAATGCACTTGGTTGAGCTTGTGTATCAGTGAGAAGGAACTGATGGATGAATCCAGCTACAGTCTACTTTCACCCAAGAGGTTTATGATTTGATAGTACTTTCTTTTTTTTTTTACAATGTTAATGTCTGAAAACTGTTGTTACCTGTATTTCTTCCATATGGTGCGTCCAGTTCACTACATATATAGACTTATTCTTGTCAAGACGCTACACACTATTAATGCAGAAAAAGCATTAGTGAAAGTGTATCAACTTGCCAGTTTTTCATCACATTTACCCCTGACATTGAAGTGTTTACAAAAGTGTTTTGACAGCAACAACTTGGTAGAAAATAACTTAATAAGTTATCAATCTGATGGCATCTTCAAATGTTCTCTCCACTCAGGGACTCTGAAACACAGCATGAAAACACTGACGAGGAGCTGGCAAATGTCAGACCTGTGGCGGAAACTACTGTGGAGCCAGTGAGTGATCAAACCAAGCTAGGCTTTCTCTTCATGTCTAAAAAAAAAAAAAAAACAGCTGTGTTTTTGAATTTTACAGCCTTTCAATCTGTATTCATTTGATACAGTTGGAGACTAAAACTAGACCGTGCAGACAAAAAAAAACAGTCTATGTGTGCTGAATTGTCTTTAAAATTTTACGTTACACCTTAGACACAAACAGCCCCAGACAGCAAAGAGGAAGGACAAGGAGAAGAAGACGGCGTCTCTCAGAATGACCTGGAGGCTCTCATTACTGGCCAACACCCCAAAGAGGAGACTCCTGGCCCCAGTGTCAACCCTGATCCAGACATTGCTGCTCAGAAGCCGATCTCAGGGAAGTGGGTCTGTGCTCAGTCCTCTCAGTCCAAAAGTAATAACTTCAACAAGCACATCACTGACAAACTTGAAGTGCTGGCCAAAGCCTACACACATCAGGGGGACAAGTGGAGGGCACTGGGCTACTCCAAGGCAGTCAATGCACTGAAGAGCTACCACAAGCCTGTTACATCATATCAGGTAACCTAATGCAGATGTTTTAAATACAATGTCAGTAGTGCTGACAATGTTATGTAAACTTATGTATCTTCTGTCATAGTATGAGGACTATCTTGCTTTTCTTATCGTTTATTTTTTAATTTCAGGAAGCTTGTCAGATCCAAGGAATAGGAAAACGCATGGCTGACAAAATTGATGAGATTATGGAGAGCGGTCACTTGAGGAAACTCGATCACATCGGGGAGGCTGTGCCAGTGTTGGAGCTGTTCAACAATATCTGGGGTGCAGGAGCTAAAACTGCACAAATGTGGTACCAGCAGGTGAAAATACACAAACAGATACAAAATATAATATCTGAAAGTTGAAGGACAATGCAGTGCATAAAAGGCTGGTAGTTTAATATTTTGGTTTATTGAACAAAATAGTGCCTTTACGGTTTCACGGTATCTGCACTTTGTCAAGAGTTAATCATTTCTCCTGAGAGTAGTCATTTCTCCTAACACAGTGACAAGATATCTACTTGTACTAAAAGTTGTGACAAATAATAGAATTGCACTCAAGACTGAAACTCTGGACTAGAGTCTCACTGATAAATCAGTCAGGCTTATATTGTGCCATTAATCTCACTTTTGCTATTGTGGTATCAGTGTATATGTCAAGTGATTGCAGTGCAGAAATACGAAAGATGTTTGAGGTCATTTAAAAATTGTGTCACTATTGCACCCCAACCGGTCGAGGGCAGATGCCAGCCCAGTCTGAGTCTGGTTCTGTCACAGTTTTCTTCATGTTAAAGGGAAGTTTACCCTCTGCACTGCTGCCAAGTGCTTGCTCATAGGGGAATTGTTTTCTTTTTCTCTATAATACTGTAAGTTCTTAACCTTAGTATGAAACGTTCCCTGATATGACTGATGTTAGGATTTGGTGCTATATAAATTATATTAAATTGCACAGAAAAGTAGTGCTAACTAAATTTTAAAAAATTAAAAGTGTTTATATTAAGTGATAAAATCTACAACTTTCTGCAACAACATTAAATCCACTGGCAGGTGAAGTCAACAACATCATCTTTTTACAATGTTTTTGCTGCAAAAACTTAGGTCCTTGCATGTTGTAACTTTGTATCGACCACCTGCGCATTGTTGCAGACCAAACCACGATAAAGAGCCTAAGGCATTTGCCCGACCTCTAAACTACCCAGATCCCAGTCTGACTGACCATCTGTAAGATGTGCTGGGACTAGCCTGATCTACTGAGGCCAGGCTGGCTCCACTGCCAATGTCCTGGTGTCAGACACCACAGGACACCTTCAGGGTTCTTGTGTCCACGGCCGAATGGGTCACAGCTGTTTTGGCAAAACAAGGGGGATCTAAACAATATTAGGCAGACCTCAAAAATACATTATCAGTCATTTTATAAGATGATCCATCTTATAATTTTAATTAGGAGATTTCTTATTGGAGACTTTATTATTCTGTAAAATAAATGCAGCACCCTTTAAGGAAGTGTAGCAGCTCTATCAAATATGTTAGTTACGGGTTATGAAATAAACAATAATAGTTAAGCTGTTGCTAGTATTATTTTGTTCCAGTTAATTTAATAGCGAAAGCATATGTCTGATATGTTAGATATATTGTTTGAAGAGCTTCCTCAAAACTGTCATTTGTCCATCAGGGATTTCGCACTTTGGAGGACGTCCGCACCAAAGCCCACCTGAGCAACGCTCAGAAAATAGGACTCAAGCACTACAATGACTTTCTCGACCGAATGCCCAGGGATGAAGCGGCAGCGATAGAGAAAGTGGTAATGCATCCTCACTAGTCACAACACAACTTGTATCATTCTGTGATGATGGCTGTAATATCTGTGCTTCCATCTCAGTACATTCAGTCAAGTTTACATGGAAGTGAGATACCTTTGTAAGAGATTCCCCTGCAAAACCCTCAGAAATTTGGAAACGAAAGGCCTGAAGGAGGGAAAAGTTTGTGTCAGCTTTCCTTCACTGCTTGATAATGGGAAATCCAGATTGTATTCTCACAAAGTAGAGCATCCCAAAGGGAAAAGTAAATCCTGAAACTTGCTGCATCTTAAGTTAGCCAGATACCTGTTCGCTCCAGAGCGTTAAGGACAGCGCTAGTTGTTGTCATATTGTATTACTTGGATTTTGTTTTTCCTCCAAAGCTGCCAGATAGAGTGCACATGAGATAGATGACTAAAGCATGTGTGCTCCCTCAGGCTTGTCAAAATAATATGTGATGCTTTAGCAAGGCTACCTCCCAGTATTTGGCTGGGAACAGGTAAAAGCTTAGTTGTTTGCCAGTTGGGGCCACAGTAAAAAGAAGAGAACGTACAAAATAGGAAGCGTGCCTTTCTGTGACTGAAAAGCCCAATATTAGAAGAAAAAAAAAAGCATGTTTTGGCAGTAAAGAGGATTGTGTAAAAGTTGTGGCAGCTGTTGCTCTGGTAGTAGAGCAGTTGTCCTCCAATCGCAAAGTTGGCAGATCGATCTCTCGCCCCACATTCAAAGTGTCCTTGAGCAAGACACTGAATCCGAAGTTGCTCCCAGTGGCAGGCCTTGCATGGCAGCTCTGTCGCCATTGGTGTATGAATGTGTGTGAATGGGTGAATGAGAAAACATTGTAAAGTGCTTTGAGTACCACTAAGGTAAAAAAACAATTAAATGAAAATAAATAGCAACTAAATGACTGACCTAACCTATTTGACTAAAATTAGTAAAAGCTGAGTTGTTTGCCAGTTGGAGGCACAAAAACAAGGGGACATACAAAACAAAAACTCTGCTTTTCTGTTATATAAGACCCAAATATTAAAAAAGACGTGTTTTTGTGGTGAAAGGGATTTTGTAAAAGTTGTAAAAGTTGTGCTGCAATCCATTAGTGGCCTTCATTAAGAATAGTATTTATTAATAATAACAATAATAATAATAATAATAATTGATCAGATTTATATAGCGCTTTTCTAGATACTCAAAGACACTTTACACTGTCAATTATTCATTCACACACATTCATTGTGTGGTGGTAGCTACGATTGTAGCCACAGCTGCCCTGGGGCAGACTGACAGAGGCGTGGCTGCCATTCTGCGCCTACGGCCCTCCGACCACCACCTCAAACAATCCATTCACACGCATTCACACCAGGCAAGGTGGGTGAAGTGTCTTGCCTAAGGACACAACGATCATGAAACAGGTTAGAGGGCGGAATCGAACCGCCGACCTTCCGATCATTGACCGACTCGCTCTACCACCTGAGCCACAGCCGCCCCATTAGCAATGAAAATGACAATGCACTCATTTTTGTGTCTTTATTTCTGTGCAGGTGAGGGATGCTGCACAAGCCATAGACTCAGCTCTGGTGGCAATGGCATGTGGCTCCTACCGCCGAGGAAAGGCAACATGTGGAGACGTTGATGTACTCATATCGCACCCTGACGGAAAGTCCCACAAAGGCGTTTTCAGTAAAATCTTGCAGAGCCTCCATGACAGCGGTAAGCTCCGTCTCTTTCATGTGGATTTCTTTGAGAAAAACTGGAAAAATAAGCAACTGTTTGTTTGTCAGGATTTCTGACAGATGACCTGGTGAGCCACGAGGACAACGGAGAGCAGAAGAAATACATGGGCGTGTGCCGTTTGCCAGGACTTGGTCAGCGCCACCGCAGGCTGGACATCATCGTTGTGCCCTACAACGAGTTTGCCTGTGCTCTCATGTATTTCACCGGGTCGGCACACTTCAACCGCTCAATGAGAGCCTTTGCGAAGACTAAAAGAATGAGCTTATCAGAGCACTCGCTCAACAAAGATGTGGTACGTCAAGGTAGCATAAAGGTGCATGGTGGGACTCCACTCCCCACTTCGGCAGAGAAGGATGTTTTTAATCTTTTAGGGATACCATTTAGACTGCCTCATGAAAGGGACTGGTAGTGATTGGCCCATTACAGTGCCTTGTCTGTTTGATTTTATAGAAAGTAATCATGATGCTGACGAATTGTGAAACTGCTATTATACTTTACAAACTACTTTTAAGGATGTTTTGTTCCTCCACAGATCATGTAAGAGCCCTGTTTGACTTGAATGCTAATTTTAGCTTTTGCACACTAAAGGACAAGGGTCACTCAGACTCCAAAACAACTTACCTATCCCTAATTTGATCTGTCCCTTGAGACGGTTTTACGTGACATGTGAGCAGATTTTGCAACTTTACCGCCGCTGTAACCCCGATATATTACAACTAATTGAATTTTGTTGTTTTGCTGTTTTAAAAAAAGTGGCATTTTCTGTTTTTGGATTGAACTATTGCGATTTGATTTGCAATATAATTTTATAATGTCAAGCTTCAGTTCAGTTGGTTTCAAACATGTGGATTATCACCACATGAAACGCTTTCAAAGACACGACTGTCACACAGGGAGGACTGCGTGTCATGACACTTTAAACCCGATGTCACATCAGACATGCAGCATAATGTATGAGGCGTGGCTATTAAATATAGAGACCACGGCATGCATGACTAAACCATGTAGTATATTTTGATCTGTCGGCATGCATAAACAACTCTTAATGTTTCAGTCGGCTCAAATTAAATAAAACTGAAATACAGCTTTAGTCTCATAATTTATGAGCCACACCTTGCATGTTCTAAATTGCAGCTCTTGTGATTTGCTAATTGACTTGTTTCAAATTTAAACTTGGACAGAAACTCTTGTAGAAGGCAGTTTGATTAGGTCAGATAACTGGGAGCCTTTTTAAGAGACTTAAATGTAAATAGCGAGATCAGCATCTGTTATGAAAGAATGGCAGCAAAAGTTTCAGAGGCAGATATTGCAAACGCTTAGCAGGTGGATTTCAAACTTTCTGAGACACCACTTCAAGTAAGTGAAGTGTCCCTTTAAAAACATGTTAATGTCAGCGGATGATGGATGCTTTAAGTATATTTTATTAAAGATGACCAATAATAAAATGTAATAAAAGCCAAACGACACTGTCTGCATTTATTTTTTTATTTTCGATTGAGAGAGTTTTTAAGTTTAGTTAGAACTGATTGATCTTTACAAGATCTGGTCTGAGTTGAGACAGAAGGTCCCAGTTACATAAACTAGCAATTGCACAAGGGACACACTGGATGTGAGTTTTACTGGTCTCGGGTACCATGTAGAACATCTTTACCTCTACTTTTAACAGTTTTTGCAGGCTTGAAATGTAGATGAATATGAAGCAAGATTAATATGTAACGCTGGATTATGAAGGAGTTGCCCGTCTTTGGAGCATGTGTTCCCAACGCAGAGAAGGAGGGGAACCCAGGATGATAACAAGGCCATGCACCGGAGACGCACCGGCCACTGATTGGTCAGTCTGCTCTCAGCTGGCCCGGACCGTCCAATGGCGGGTCAGTCCGCAAAACCAGTTATGATCCGCGGAACTGAACGCCCATCACGTTGCGCACATGGATCGGGTCGAGGTGACCACGCCACACCCAGCTGACCGAAACAGAGTGTCTGAGCTGGAGGAACGGCTTGTGTAACAGCTGTATCAGCCAGTGGCACCGACGGCAACCAGTTGCGCTAGCACCGTCCCCTCGGTGAAATGTCCTGAACGCAGAGGAGGCGGCGCGAACAGCGGCCTCTCAGCTCGGCAGGGGCCGAAGAGTAGTTCGGCATATTCGGGATACAGTTTGCGAGCGGCAGCAGCGTTTGCATGCTTGTGTTTTTTTTTTTGTTTTGTTCCCCCCCACACCCCCGTAGCCACTTCTCGGAGGAATGAGAAGCGCATGTTCGAGACTTAAAATGGGATTGTTTTTGCACGCTGTCGGCTCTGTCACCCCCACCGAGTCCGCGGCAGACAGGGTAAGACCCAGCCGTCAAAAACAAGTCTCCGTCCTCGCAGGGCTGCTAGCTTGCTAGTCACCTGGCTTAGTTAGCAAACTGCCCAGGTGTTCTTACACGCTTGGTGACTGTTCCACCGCAGTACATATACCGTGTTGAGGTATTTTCTAACGTGTGCTGTCAAGAAACATGCTAGCTCGCTCGCTAAGCTCGGCTGTTAGCTTCGCTGGCTAACGCACATAGCAGTGTGGAAGTGAGACACCCAGCTGAGCCAGGGGCCTTGTTCTGTTTACGGTCGAGGTTTGACATTTTAGCCACAAGTCAGTTGCATACACAACGAAAGCAGTTCTTCAGGTATGAACGCACAACAGCTAGCACCACTTTAAACAAGAGCCTTGTTATGGTCTTTGGCAGCAGCACAGAAATGGCTCCTATTAACCTAATTAACCTGATGTGTGTCAAGGAAACATCAGATATTATTGTCAGTGTGTTGATAAGGACACCGTTATAGTTTTGTCATCTTCTAGTGTTATACTTTTATAAGTTAATGTTTGAAAGACAGCTATTGCTACTAGAGCTATCCTTTCTATAGCAGAAACTGACATACAGCTTTGGAAATAATCTGTTTTCTTTACAAAGTCTTCATAACAAGCCTCCAACATTGATCAGCTAGTTTAAATTTTAGGTGGCTGAATAGTTAAAGCATCTTCTAAAAGACATGTAAAAAGTTTTACAGTATACCAAATGATGTTGTATATAGTGTATTTATGCTAAATGGCTGAAAACATTGTCACTGTTATTTTGTGCATAAACTGTGCATGTAAAGTCAACAGATTGTCCAGACTAAATGATCACTCAGCAAACCCTTAAAGAACTGCAAAATGACAAGAAAACATCAGTCATCTTGTTGCAAGTCGTCGCTAACAGGCTTAAAATCAGCAAATCAGTTGTTCATTACAGACTTAAAACAGGATAACTTCACCAAGAACCACCAAGGAAGAGGCAGAAAACTGTGCTCACATTGGTCTGATTATTTTCAAAGCGATATATTTTTGCCATGAGTGTACCAACACTGGTGTAGCACTCTGCAACATCAAAGGCCTTTAGAAATGTTTCTATTTCAGCATTGATGACGATTTATAGTGTAGAATACAGTTATTAATAATCCTTTGGAAGCACTGTAGCATCTCAACAAACACACAAATGGCTGTGTTTGTCAAGGGACGTGGGGAACCCATGCAGAGAGCGCACAGACACGGCAGAGACAGGTCATGGTTTTAACACAGATTTAAAGAACAAAACAAAGAACTGAAAAACAAGGATAACTGAGGTGGGGGGCTGGGACGAAACTAACTAAAACTTACTACGGAGTGGACAGGATGGGGGGCGGACAGACTCCCGAGGCCGGCAGTCCAAGGGCTCACACTGATGGTTAGGGTGAGTGCTGGAGAGCGGCAGAGGCGGTCCGGAGAGTGGGCCAAGAGGGAGCCAGTTCCCTTCAGATCAGGGGTTTAGGGAATCCGAGGCTGGGCAGGAGGCAGAACCGCAGCAGGCAGGACTGAACCCGAGCCAAGGCAGGGAGTAGCAGGACCGAAGCAGAACCAGAGCCAGGAATAACAGGACCAAAGTCGAACCAGGGAAAGGGATAGCAGGATCGAAACCGAACTGAGGCAAGGGATAGCAGGACCGAAGTAGAACCGGGGCAGTGGGACTGTAGGAACAGGAGGATTACAGGTTAGTCACAGGAGAACAGTAATGTGCTGAGGCCTGATCACTCAAATACTTGAGTAGCTGAAGCTGATGCTATGATTTGGCTGGGACTGGAGCGTGGAACCGGCTTTTATGGCTGGAGAGAGTGACTAGAGTGCTGCACCGCAGCTGACTGGAGTTGCTGCTGATTATCAAAGTAATTAGTATCAGCCGCTGCAGGGAGCGGCACAGGAGAGTGAGCGAGAGCAGAGGATAGAGAGAGAGAGAGAGAGAGAGAGAGAGAGAGCAGAGGAGAGAGAGAGAGAGAGGGAGAGGGAGAAGCAGGGAAATCAGGTGGGGCAGATGCAGGGACTAGGGAGGGGACCCTGACAGTGTTTATTGTAGGGTAGCAGCTAACAAATATATTCATTGTTGATTCAATTATTTTGTGATTAACTGATCACTTGTTTGGTCTAGAAAATGCTGAAAACTGTTGGATCAGTGTCTCCTAAAGCCCAAGATGATGTCCTCAAATCTCTTGCTTTGTCCACAACTCAGAAATATTCATTGCACTGTCATTAAGGAAATGACAGTAAAGATATTCCATAAAATATTCAAATGTATGTGGCTGGATTCAGAGTACCTTTGTCTGACAACTAATCATTTAATTGTGGAAGCTCTAGTCAGTCATCTCAGTTTGTGTGATTTCACCTTGTAACTTTTGAATGATTTTCCATTTTAAGAAATATTTGCATCTGCCAAGATGGATATTATGTATATTTTTGGAGGTGCAGTGGTTGATAGAATTAGTTAGAATCTTGTACTGTTACCTGTCAGGGTCAGAATTTGATATATTTGTATATATATATTCAGTAAAAACATCAAAAGAAGGTCATGCTTGGCGCATTGAGATGCACAAATCTGAGGGCACATTTTTCTTGTTTGATATGCTAATAGTATTTAATCCACCCATTTAAAACCACGCAAGCGTTGATAGAGGAGATGTGTGTGAAACCGCATATGTACAAAGTGAGCTTATGATATTAATATTAAAGTAAGCATTTCTTATAGTAGCATGAGTATAGAGATGCAATGAAAATATTTTGTCTTCTACAGGCTCAAGGATGCAATAAAATGACGTCTTCATGAGCCAGAATGAATAGACGTTAGATGCCGATGCAAAATTACAATATTATTTTTTTTTTGCCTTTATTTGACAGGACAGTAGAGAGAGAGACAGGAAAGTGGGGAGAAGTGTAGGGGAGGGACCTGCAGCAAATGGCCATGGGCTGGATTTGAACCCAAGACTGCTACATCGGGGACTATAGCCCCACTACATGGGTCGCCAGCTCAACCAGTTGAGCTATTGCGGCAGCCCACAATATTCTTCTAAATAATAATGATTGAAGCCATCGGTGGCATCTCCTGCACGGCAGTTTTTGTTATGGCTAGGAGGAAGTACAAATGCAAATTTCTGGGAGAGTGTTTGCAGTGTGGTGTTGCTATTAATGTAAATGTCAGCTATTTGTGACCAAATACAATCATCCATGTTTGTGCTTGATCTGTTGCTTCATACAAGATTTCCCTGTGTTTCTTTGTTTTTTTCACTTAAAATATCAGTAAAAGTTTACACAACAGTAAATGCTGATTTTTAAAGTTCAGCTGCTTGAGCGAAATTTCGGCACCAAGGTCACACATTAATGGGCTGAATTGGGGTTCTGCATTTTTTTCAGGACATAATATTTCCTTTTACTGCTTTCATCACATGCACTGTCACATGCTGTGTCTATGTTATCAGTGCACGCATGTGTGCATAAACCACAGTTACAAAATGAGGCACATTTGCACGCAGCTTCGTAAAAAACATTTGTTTGTGCATATTAAGTCAATGGTTCTTAGCTATTTAAAACACAAGGCCTAAAGCTATATGTTCTATTTGGAAACTCAGTAGAGCTCAGAGCTCTATTTTGTTTGTCTCTTTATCTTAACAAGTGATCACTGGTCACTTACATAATGTCTGATAGTGATGTTACTGTACAGCACAGTGAGAAACATGAGCCCCCAGCTCTGTAGCGTGTCAGCAGTTTATACTATGAGTTATCCCATTCATCACACAGTCTCATATTAGAAAAATTATACCCTGGAGTGAGAAAGGAAGCTCAGAGTTAGACTTCTTCTAAAGCTTGAAAAGTCAAAAGGATGCTTTCCAGCTTATATAAAATCAGCATCGTGTATCCGGGGACAGCTGTCTTAAAAAGTTTGCAGCTATAAGAAACCTAATACTTCACAGAAAATACTCATTTGTTTGGCTTCTTACCTAAGATTTTACCTAAGAGCCACTTAATCCAAGTTTTGTCTAGCTGCGCCTTATTATCATTCAGATATAGTGGAAATAAAATGCTCTGGCTTGTTTGTATCTGTTTTAACTAATCACAATCAGAGCGCGAAGCCCAGTATGCAACGATGTGAGAGTTTTGGTGGATGCAGTCATTAAAATATATTTCACCAAAAGAACCAAGCCTTGTTACAGGATCCAAATTCTATTCAGACTTTTCCGTTTTCAGCAGGTAGGTGGCTGCATGGAGGGAGTGATGTCCTGCAGGAATGGGGATCTTCAATTTGGTGAAACACAGATATCAGAAAGAGAGAAGAAAGCTGTGTGGATGTAAAATGCAATGCAGAAATGTCAGGCTTATACCCAAAATTAGATACTTAAACTTGACTCAACTCCTACAGTCCCATTGAATCATGGGGTATAACAGGGCTAGCCTATAACACAAGGACCTCTATCACCGTCCAACACACTGCTGCACACAGCACCATCATTTTGTGTAGTTTCAGACACACACTTGTGTGTATGTGATTTTACAGTATTGTCCCCTGGAAAAAAATCACCAGGCTTAAAAAAAAAAAGCTTAAAATGTCTTACTTAACTATGTAAACCTTTGCAAATAAAAAAAATAAAAATGTGATCCACTGGGTAAAATGTGAAATTGAAGACATGGTAATCTTGCAGGGTCTAGCTCAGTCAGTCTTGGTAGAATTTAAAGTCATTGATGGATGTTCTGCTTGACCCTGTTGCTTATGTTAATATTAAGTAGCTCTTAACTTAGCTACAGCAATTCTGTGCCAAAGTTTGATTGTAGTCATCTTAAAAGGAATCCTCTGTTGCGGGCGACTGTACTGTTCTAAACTGGAGATAAAAGGCAGTTACTCAGAAGCTTGTAAATCTTTCCTCAGCTGTTGAAGTTTATTTGAGGGGGATTTGTGGCATTAAAGGTTGCTGCAAATGCATCGTCCGCGTTTGTTCTGCATAACCTTGATGACTATGAAAGAGCATCTTTCTTTGTTGCTGGACAGAATAATAAATAAGAGGTCAACGAGGTCCTTGTGTGCATCGGCTGACTTGCCAAGTCCTACAGGCCCGTGCTAAGTGGATCAACTCAGACTGTGCAGTCGAGACTTAACAATGAACTGCAGCCATTTATGTCCAGGAACAGTACCTGATAGTCACCAGGACATTTCTGGGCCATTCTCGTTGTCTGCGTGTTTCAACAGCTTCTCATTATTTAGGATGCTGTTTTTTTTTTTTCTTTTCTTTTCTTTTCTTCTAACTCACCAATAATTTCAGGGACAGTAACCAAATCTGCTTTTAATCTGGCACCGTGGCATGAGAGAAGTTGATTGTTTCATTGTTGGCTGGGATAGGAGTCGGGGAGAATCTTGTCTGTCAGGATTCTTTGCCCGGTCGTGGTTTGTCTATCAGGATTAGTTAAAAAAAAAAAAAAAAGTAAGAGTTACGAATAGTTTCAGGTTTTTTCAGGTCATGTATTTGACATCACTTTGACAGCAGCACAAGTTGCATGTTAAAGACTCAGTGAAGCACTTCTTCTGTAGAAACGCTTGACCTGACTCCTTCTTTCAGCACTCAAACTAGATAGTTATCTGTGCTGAACTGCAAAAATAAGTCCAATCTGCAAAGTGGACAGCAAAAGGTACAGAGTGAGTCAGTGAAAACAGCTGACAGACCAAGTCAAGGAACAGAACGTTATGTGATTATTACACAGAATTTGTTTTGTGTTGAGCTGTTTTTTTCTTCTTCTTTTTTAAATGTCATGTTCATAAAGTCAAAACAGCAGATGATCTGTCAGGTTTGAAGTTCCAACTTTCTGCCAGCAGTTCGGCTCTGTGCTGATCCACTGTGACGAATCATTCCTGTGTTACCGCTCTGGCTTTCTTACTGCTTTTCTTGCCGTCCTTTCTCTCCCTCCCTGCCTCACACTTTAACACACACCTCTTGCCGCTCTGCACACCTTATTATCATGTGGCGGCCCAGATAGGAGCTCACCCTCCGCTGCTGCTTGGAAATTTCCGTAAAGCAATCTTTGTCCGCTGTTCGGGCCTGGATCGGAGTGGGGTGAGGGAGTGTGTGGGTGGGTCGGGTTGACAAAGAAAGAGAGGGAGGCAGGGAGAGAGTGAGAGTATGTTTGAGAGCTGTTTGACTTTTTCTTCCTGTGGGATAGTGACCCATGAGGGAGAGGATACTTGTCTGGACCCTGGATCGTCATGCCTCTCAATCTGGGACCTGCACTGGTAATCCATAGAGAGAGAAAACTGTGCTTTGAGAGAACTTTTGCTGGCTATCTCTTAAGATAATCTAGAAGAAAACATCAGAGGGATCTCCGTGGAAAGCTCCATAAACTTGTCTCATGAGGTTTTTGATTACAGTGCTCTCTGTTTTGCTAATCTAACTCAGATTATTCTTCCACTAGCTTAACTTTTCACAAGTTTGATGGACATTCGTTACTTGTTTTCTAAGGACAACTTTGCTATATTGACAGTAAAAACAGACTGAGTGGAGACAAATGATTGATTTAGGAAGAAACTTGACTTTCTTGCATTCTGACATTTTCCTTTGTTCAGATTTGACCTCAGCTGAAGTTTTAAGTTGAAATTGTGTATTGGACGTGGTGCAACATACTCGGTGGTTTTGTGCTGGCTGTGATTCAAAAATTTGCACTTGATATGGGCCTTAAACTCTGATGAAATGCTAGCAGCTCACCAGCACAAGGAGTGAGGACTTGCTTACTTGAGATCTATAGCTAAGTATAAATGTTGCCCTCTAAATATCTGCTGTGTTGTTATTACTCCAAATCAAAGGTCAGGGCTAGTCATGTAAAAAATGTCTGTGGCCCAGTTCTGTATTACATATTAACTGTACACATAATGTACTGTATACGTGTCTGGTTTTTGAAGTTGGCATATAAGAAATTAACATGTTTGAACAAAAGTTATATAGCACCTCTGCTTGCATGACAGAGTTCCACTGAAAATAAAACTTCAAGAGATTTACTCCTATTTTCCAGCACCTTTCCTGACTTATTTATATTTATTTGCACCCTTGCGTAGTGCCTTCACTTCACATTGTTGGACATTAGTGTAAAATTAGGGCTGACCCAAATGCTTCGAAGCTTGTACCGTTGCCATAGTAACCAATATCCTAATCGGTGTTCTAATGCTTTTTTTTTTTTAACTTTTATTATCATTATATAGGCAGTACACAAAAATCCAGAATAGCCCATGAAATCAGAAATTGTAATCCAACAATATTTCTCTGCATCTATGTTATTTATTAGTTATTCTTTGTGATAATTTAATACATACACTTCCTTTTTTAAAATTATTAGCACTTACACAAGGACATCCACATGAGACCACTTTATAAGTTTTAACTATGCTAGCAAGATATCAAAAATATTAAGCATCTGGTATAAGTTGTATATCACAAATGTACAACCAGTTTGGCTGATGCTAATGCGACCTGCAAGCTATTTCGGTATAATATTGGGTTGCCATTTGGCTAATTTATTGTAATTAAAGATGCTTTAACTGAATCTTTGTAGCCTGATATTTGTTGTTGTGTCTATCTTCCAAAAAAAGGTATATGGACAGCCCTAGTATACATTCTGACCTTTCTGATGTGTACATTCTACGTACCAAACTACTTAAAAGTTGTCCAGGAAGGTAACCGACAAAAGCGTACATTATGATACCGTGCCCCAGAACTGTTGAACCCTCTGAACCTCAATCAGTTTCTAGCTGTCTCTAGCTGTTTCTAGGTGTGCTCCTGTCACATTTTGACTCACAATGCAATCATATTTTACTGCTGTAAAAAAAAGTCCTGCACTTCATTTGAAACAGCACAACTTTGGTTAGAAGTAGTGAGAACTCTGTCTGCAGTCTAACAAAGTTACAGTGACATATTGTATTATTTAATCTTATTTATTTGCAAAAAATTGAAATTTACTACTGCAAACATGATGACTCTACATACTGTAGATACTTAAGTACTCATGTTTTTATTTGTTTGCATATTTGTCACCTCTCTGCTCTGTGTAAGCACAGCCTGCAGTTCAGCTGAAAATTAGGACAGCCAAAGCACTTTTTTTTTCTTTTACAAAATCTGTTTAATTTCTGTGTTTTATTTTTAAGACATGTCAACTAAAGTGATTTTTGAAAAAAATATCTTGATTTTTGAGTAAGGACTGTTGGAAAATTGTGGTCTCAGATTACTGGTGTAATTGTGATGATTTTATTTTTATTTTTTTTTTAAGATAACAACCCTTTAATATCTGCTGGCATGTTTTAGGGGTTGGAGTGTTGAAGCAGAATTTAGGTCTTTGTCACAGAAGTCATTTTGACATCTTACACAAGGAATAACTGTTGTAAATAACAAAATGAACTTGTGGGCCACTTGTAGAGTGCAATGCACCACGGAGGCCTGTACCTTATTTCACTGTTGTAAAGAAAGTGATCTGGGTCTACTCCACAATTTATTTGGGTTCTTCTTTTGCCCATATTCCAGCTTTCCACTAGGTTTCATGAAAGTCAGCCTGGGAGATCTTGGGTAATCTTGCTGGCAAAGAGACAAGCAGACGGTGAAAAAGTACCTCCACCAAGGCGAGAGCTGAGGAGGAGTTAATATGGCTGGATTCCATTCAGCAGGTTTAGTTTCATGCCCCAGCTACAGTGCACGCTGTCTCACTGGCTCACTTGAGTACACCTGAGCCATCATTAATGGCTTCAGCTTTTATCAGCAGGTCATGACATCAAAATGTATGTATACAAAATGAGAATGAAGAAAGTAAAGTTAAAGTGAAACCTTTAGAATCAAAAGCAGAAGAACAATAGCTAAAGAGACAATTTATTTTACTCATTAATTAATTAATGGAGCGCCGGTGACCTCAACTTAACATGTGTCTTCTGAAAGCAACAGCTGAACCATTGATATTTAGGTTGTATCATTGTAAAGGGGATTAATATATCCTGAATAATTTATAAAGATTTATTTTTGTTTTTAACATGTTTTTGTTGTGATCATTGTAAAAAAAAAAAAAAAAAAAAAAAAAAACAAAAAAAACCCACAAATTTTACCAAGGACAGTATGAGGGAGCTTGTTTTTTTTAAATATCTTCTGCACATCGTAACTGAACCAGGACGCCTTGAGATGTTTTTTAAAATACTTTTTCAAAGTTAAGATGTTGAAAATGCACTTCTTTAAAGGTGGCAGTATTTCTTGTGCCTGTCTTGCAGAGCCTGCTGCACTGTGAGGGCGTTAACAATCAGAGCTACATCTGTGAGTCCGGACACTGCTGCGGAGAGTCCCAGTGCTGCAGCTACTACTATGAGCTCTGGTGTAAGTCTCCTGCTGTTCTTTAATTTCTCCTATTTTGTCACCTTTGTCTTGTTCTCCCTCACTTTACAGACGCACATACACAACATTTGACAGAATTCACTTTTGTGATGTTAGGTTTCTGAGATTATCTCCGTAATGTATTGTAAAAAGGGGAGAAACTGTAACAAAAAAGATCATAAGGGGGAAATACAGAACTGACACCCATTTTTATGTAATTCAGAAATGGTGGGTAGATGTCCTGTGTTGACCTCAGAATTATCTCTACGTCTTGTTCTTTCGCTGAGGCTGAGCTGTCAAAACTGATGCAACGGACTGCAATTAAATGAGCTGCTTCCATGTCCAGATAAGGCAGTGTGTGTAGATTTGCATGTCAGAGTATTTAAAAGAGAACTTCATTGGCTTTTTAAAAAGGGTAAATGGCCCGCAAAGCACTCAACAGATGCAAAAGTGTAGGAGGATAGCTACAAAATTACTGAAATGTAAATGAATTAATCTATAGAATGAGCACATTTACATGCTTTATGTTGTTATTAAAATAGGTAAGTGCATTTTCTACATTCATACACTTAGTTGTGTCACAGTTTAGGCCTGACTGTGTAGTTTAGGTTCTTTTATTACAGTCATAGATGTCATTAATTTACTGGAATTTTCGGAATTCAATGCAAACCGCACTGGCAAATCAGGGAAATTATTGATAGAAGATAGGAAATTATTCCTTAAAAAAATAGTAGTGGATGGGCTCTAATGAGAATTTCCTAAACAGTAACATACTGAAGAGTAGTATTTATAAGATAGTATAGCTAAAACCCAGCCAGTATTGAGGTTGTTTTAAAAAATGTGACAAAGACTTACAGGCCAGTTTTTTTTTTTTTTTTACATAAACATTCTTGACAATGATATCTCAGTATTTTCTTTTTCTTTTTTCTTTTGACAAGGATGTATACAGGACAAAACACTAACCTATTAGCACTCATTGGTGTATAAACTGTGGAACACTGTTCTTGTTGCTTACCATCAGACACTGATATGTCTGGTATGAGCTTATGTTCTAAATATGGTAGTGTTGAAGTAATTTTTTCACCTCTTTTTGTTTATTGTTTGTTAAATTTTGGTTTATTATTCAAATATTGTCCAGTCGCAGGTAATGGAAAGGTTGATTTAAGGACAAAGTTGATGTGTAATCCTAAAAAGAAGCAACGTTCAAGCTGACTTCAGACAGATTCATAATATGTTAACTATTTATTGGTGTCCTAAAGAAAAACATGACCCAAATTGACACAAAATGTTCAAGTAATTGAACACAATTCTTAAAGGACCATAAGAGAACAAAAAGTGTCTCATGATGATGCAGAACTGATTTATTTTAGTGACAAAGATCCACTTTACCGAGAGCCATGCTGCGTGGTTTAAATTCTTATTTTGTGAAGACACAGGCTGCTTTACCCTTTTGTCCTTGGGGAGTGAAATTCTCTGCATTTTTCTCTTTCAAACACACAGTAAACACAAACTGTTTTGTAGTTTGCGTTCCCTGCTGCTGTTTTGACTGAACTCTAGATAGCACAGTTTCACAAATAGCTCATCTGAATAAAATTAAGACTTGATGTTGCTCAGAAAAAGCACAGATTGTTCTTAAACAGTCTATTTTTTTCTGGAACTCAGATTGTTTGTGTTAAAAAAAGAAAAAGACCATCTACAGCTCATTTTCTTTCATTGTATTTTAATGCCTTGTCCTCCAACGTTCCAGCATTTTGAAATAAATTCCCATTATTTCTGTAGCATTAATGTTGCTGCACCAGAGTATTTCAGACAGTTTTTATATATTATGTCTCCCAAAGTAAGAAATCTGAGGACTCATGCGATGCAGTCAAACAAGTTCTTTCTCCTTAGAGAAAGAACTTGGAAAAACTGTAAATCTGTCATTGCATTGTAGAGATAAGAATTAACTTGGATTTCTACGCCTTGATTCTGTCCCATGAAATGCAGACTACAATACATACGACTCATACAGTGTACAAGCATGTAGATGTTTGACTGTTAGAACCAGATGTTGGCACCATTTGATCTGCAGCAGGGTCAGTTTGTGTCATGTTGCATCACCCTCTCAGATGTTCAGACTTCACTTATTGGTTATATGGGACCCAAAACTATGTTTTATGAAATATTCTGGCAGAGTTTTTGACAATTTCTTAAGCTTTTGGACCAGGGTGTTGTGGTATTTTTTACACTCATACAAACATCTTACCTAGGGGGCCAATTTAATGATTCAATATGTCTAGAAATATAACTCCCAGAGCCATGACATTTGATGAGGACACGGACAAAATGGTTCTCGACTGATCCAAATGATTAAATAGTAGGGCCCAACCGATTTTTCGGCTGGCCGATTAAATCGGCCGATTATAGCCCTTTTCAAAATACTCATCATCAGCCGGAGTTCTGCCGATTAATCGCCGATATATTCTTAATTTCTCATAAAACATTAATTTTGTAAAATTTCATTTTGTAAAAAGACAAATATTCTCCAAGGCAAAAGCGTGTGAAAAGCACTTCAGCAACACCACGAAAACCTCAGTTTTTGCTACTGCTTGTTGTAAACAAGTCAAACTTGGCTTATGGAGATGAGGAAGAATTAAGATAGCTTATGACCATACAGCAGTAAGATCACTCACTCTGCCGCAAATTCTGAAACCAAAACAGCGCATAGAGTGCTCACTCTTGACTGTTTTTCAGAGAACTATAGAAAACAGCTTTTAAAACTTTTTATCCAACTTTTTAACTAACTTATTTAACTTACATTTTTATTAACATATTCTCATCAACTTTAAAGACAGCACAGTCTTTGAGAGTACAGAACATCAGAGGGCTACATAAATACTGTTCTGCCAGTAACTTCACTCATCATGTTGCTTATATACAGCACACACCTATGGCCTAAATCTAAAGATAAGTTCATCAGTATAACTGGTAGTTACATTCATGCATGCTCCATAGAAAGAAAAATGCACAATGCAAGTTTGAAATAAAATACCCCACATGACAGACATATTTGTTTGGAAAACTTTTTTTTTTATTTTTTTTTACTGATGCATATTATGTTTAATGCTTTGTTGCATGTTGTTGTACTTGAAAATTCTTCTCTGTTGTAAAATTAAACAAATACCAAAGGACAAAGTATTGTAAAACAGTAAAATGTTCTGCCTGCGATTTAGATCTTTGTTGTTGTAAACATTAAGGGACCAAAAAAGAAGCTATTTTATTCATTATACATTTTTTAAATTAATCTTCCAATTAATCGGTTATCGGAGTTGCCAAATATCAGAATCAGCATCGGCCTCAAAAAATCCATATCGGTCGGGCGCTATTAACTAGCTCCAGCAGAGGCAATTTTCAAAAAATGTATTGGCCCTTAAAATTGGAAAAATTGCAAAAAATGTTTGAACAAGGTTGGTATTTGGTTCCTTTAACTGTATATATGTGGATGTATCCATATTTCCTACCATAAATACAGTCTTTGGTTGACATTTCATTAAATTTTTTGGCCTCTCAACATCAGTAGGACTTGATGTGTGGCAAACCTGATAAGCCAAAGTTCCTTTTTTTTGGATTGACTAATACGACCACAAAAACTGTTGCACCTTTGGGTCTATATATTGCTATTACATGTGCAAAGTTACACATTTCTTCCATGTTGTCTTCATGTTGAAGTTTGACAACATATGAGGCTTATTTTGCCTTAGTAAATGTTTCCTTACATATGAACACTAAACAGAGAAACTAGTAATTCAACACACATCAAAATAAATCTCATGACACAGACTGACCCAGTGTTATGTTTGTGTTAGCAGCTGACTCTTTATGTTACATCACAACATTTTCTCATCTATTTATCAATATGTGAGTTTAAAAAAAGAAGAAAAAAAACATTTAAAAATCACACTTGTATTTTTTCCATTTTGTTAGAGGTGGTGGACAAATGTGACTCTGTTGTTGTTCTTCTGACTGCAGGGTTTTGGTTGGTGTGGGCGATCATCTTCATTTTGAGCTGCTGCTGCGTTTGTCACCACCGACGCACCAAACACCGGCTGCAGCAGCAACAACGGCAGCACGAGATCAACCTCATCGCTTACCGTGAAGCACACAATTACCCCTCGATGCCCTTTTACTTCAGTAAGGTCTACCACTCAAGCAAATACTCGCACTGAAACACAAGAGATGATAAATAAAATCAGTTTGATAAAGTGAGGCAGTCATTGATGGTGACACTTCTGTGCTGACTTTAGCCAAAGTTTGATGCCTGTCTTAAACAGTGCAAAGCTTCCTGAGACTCTAATGTTTGTGAGTATGAATCACAAATATACAACTTCACAAGATATTTTTCTGATTATTATTGGATGCAAATTATAAGGGATTCTCTTTATTACGGACAAGAAATTAGTGAGAGCTAATTTAACATTATATCACAGTTTTGCTACTGAGATCTTCTGCAATTAAAGTCCTGCACCTCTATGGAAACAATACAACCGTGGTTAGACATAAAGAAAACTCAAAAATGTCATTTGTGCAGCATAACAAAGTTATAACCTGGAATCAATAGGCACAATATTTTTCCAAGTGATTACAAGTGTTACTATTACCTTAAAAATAATGTGACTCTTCAAAATAAAGGTGTTTGACTATTTATATTTTTAATATGTTTCTATAATGCCCCCCATCTGCTCTGTGTAAACACAGCCTGCAGTTGATCCCAGTAGAAATCCCTGATTTTTTTTATATTTTAGTTCAATTTAGTTTTGGCAAAAATTTTTAATGAGCCATGTAAAATACAGTGAATTTGCTAAACATTTCACAATTATAAGTGAAGAGTTTCTGGTTCTGATGGATGTTTTTTAAAAGATAACCTGTCTGTAAGTTTCGGGGTTCAGAGGGTTCTCTGTTTCAGTGTTTTCAGCTCATTTTTATTTTACATCTACTTAACTGTTTTGGTTCAGTTCACATCTGTTTTCTTTCCGCCCGCACCAAAAAGTTATAACTATTATGTGCTCCCTCCTCAGCACCAACAGCAGACAAACAAACTTAAGAAATAGGTGGTGACCACATTGGAGCCAATAACTGTTTAAGACTCAGATATTTAACTCCAGTGTTGGTGGAAACTGAAGTAGCAGTTTAATGAGAATAAACATTGAACTGGTGCCCTGAAGTACAATGCTAAATGAGTGAAGTTGCTCCATTTCTGCTGAGTGTGTGAATAGGCAATCGTTACCTCCTATTTTTGGCAATGGTAGGCAACAGTAAGGCAAAAAAGAATCAATAACTACTTTTAAAACAATTCTGCCAGGATCCGTCCAGCAAAACTGTTACAGCGTCTTAAACCAGTTCACGTCATTTAGTCGGTGAACATCTAATTACAACTAGTGTTGGCTTTACATGACAAAAACACAGAGTAACATCATTACAAAAAAATCTTAATAGTGATGATTATTAGATATAAATGATGCAGAACACTTTTTTTATGAAATACATATGAAAAAATACAGTGCAATCAATACAATCTCAGTCACTCATATAAAAAAAGTATGTATCAAGTGCCACGTATCAGTTAATGCAGAACAAATAAAGCTTCCCAATTATTGGTGAAACGATACTTTTAGCACTATTAATTCTTCATTCTGGTGTTCTACTACATCTCTACCTCCTCCTTCCCTGCAAACATTTTAGCTTGGCACATCTCGCTGTTTGCTTTACTGAGAACACTGCACACACTTTCCTTACTCTGGTGAAAAATGTTATGATGCAGACTCGTGTCTGCCGATAACTTGTATATAAACTGCCTGGACATTAAATTTGTTTGTCGGTGGCTTTCACTCCAACTTCACTCCATTATACCGGCTGCACAGTGACTCAAACTTGTGTTAAGCCTTACTTCGATGTCACAGTGTTTCCCCTGTCCAGCTTCTTTTTTTTTCAGTGTTTACTGGAAGGAAAAACTCATATTGAGCACTTGAACTTTTTCAAGTATAAGTTCTCACCAGTGTTTTTCCAGGAACATCTAACTGGGCAGTATAACACGGACAACCAGCAAATCAGTGACTCCCGACTCAAATGTATGTTTGCTCTGAGATCCATCCATGGTTTCACACGGCGTCAGAACCTTCGCTGTTTGCATGCCCCAGTTTTCAGGAAACGGCACAGGATTGCTTTCTTGGTACCCTGCCAGTGTTGCAACACCATCTCGCACAGAGCTGTAACGGCCCTCGGCACAGAATTGACCCAGAAATTAGCTTATTTTGTCACATTTTTTTCCCTCGAATTGTGGTCCGGGAAGTTCAGTGAGGCCACATTGAAATATTTATGGTTCAGACAGCGGTGTTTATTTAACATATGTTCTTGTAAAAACTGAGTTTGGTTATGTACGATTTGTTTTTGTTTTTTTCTTATCAAAGAAGTTGTTTCCCCTCTTTTTCTCCTCAGGGTTTCTGCCAAACTACCTCCTGCCCGACTATGAAGAGGTGGTCAACCGGCCACCAACTCCCCCTCCTCCCTACAGTGCCTTACATACAGGCCCATCCTCAGTGGCCACTAGTCCACTGGCTCCTGAGCAGCAGGAGGGACACTGTCCAGCCATCCAGTCTTCTCCGGTGCCCCCAATCACTGACACTCTGTGCTGCAGATCTAGCATAGAGGATCCACAACCTCCCACCCTAGACTTTAGGCCAAAGCCTGACAACAAGCCCATTCAAACAGCACAAGATTCAGGCAGGATACTGCTCTCCGATGGGCTCAATAGAGAGGGACTCACCAGCCAGGAGAAGAGAAGCGGGGACGAATCCTGCAAGGACCCCCTGCTGAAGGATCACAACCTGTTGGAGGGTTGCGCTGAGGACAAAGATCGACTCCCCAATGGAAGGAGGAGGCGATTCACGGGGGATTCTGGGATCGAGGTGTGTGTTTGCAGCACACGTGGGAGCGGCGGCTGCAGTGGAACAGGAGGGACAGGCCAGGAAGGCAAGGAGCCGAGGGAGCTGGAGAGCCTGCTGGGGCGCGAGGTCGACGACGACGACAACGAGGAAGAGGAGGCGGGCGACTTCTGCGATAGCTGCGGGCATCGGGCCTCCTTCAGTGTGGAGGACGATCAGGCGCCGGGCGGGCAGGAGCGGCGGGCCGGACGTGGGCCAACAGGAACTCCACACCACATAGGCAGCGGCTCGCTCCATCCTCCAGTGTGCCTCCTCCTCCACACCATCAACGAGCAGGAAGGACCGGGGCACAGCACCAGCACTGAGCCACAGGGCTGAAATACACAAGGAAGAAGAGCACGTCACTGCTTTGGTATCAGAGCAGGATTCTCATGTCTAAATGCTTTTTAAGTGAGTATTTTTTTATGAATGTGCAGAAAAAACAGGTGTGGGAGCGGCAAATGAGGTCTCAGCTTAAAATAATTTCTGAGAACCAAAGGTTGAAAAAGCCTGCTCCCGCCCACACTGGAACAGTGGCCTTAACCTGTGTATTTTGGGTTGTATTTGGGCAGAACAAGCCCTTTAACAGCCTGTGGCAATTGAGACTACTCACACCACACACACACACACACACATACAGTCCTTCAGTTGTCCTTCTCGTGCAACACAAGCTACTGACACAGTCAAAGACTCGATAGCTGAAGCTGTGACGTTGGGACAGGACGTTCACTGCCTCGGATGAATGCAGCTCTCCTCGCCAGGTGCTCGCAACAATCCTGCAAAGCCGTTTCTCAGCAGACAGCGAACTACGTAGTAAAATAACACATACAGCAGAAACATTTCGGATGGGTGCAATGTGGAATTACCACATACCGGTGTGTGCTTATGCAAGCTGATACTGTATAGGGACATCAGAACAAGACTGTGTGGGACGTCCCGTCAGACTCATGCTTCTAAAGTGCTTTTTCAGCAATTTAAAACCGCTCTGCCTTGTGTCTGTTTGTGTTGCTCTATCAGCCCCGCTAGTGATAGGGAAGTGGAAGTGCATTAACAAATCTTCATGTTAGCAGTTCCTATTTTGCACAAAACTATATTTATCTTTATAAATGAAGCTATTAGCGGGGGGAAAAAATCAAAACAGAAGATGCTTAGTTTTTTGTTAATTTAGTCTTAAATTGATGATTTGTTTTTTGCGGTTTCGTTGCAACATTTATAAGAATTGAACCTCTGTGAAATGCCAGTAGGGAATGCAACAGATTTACTTTGTGTACAATCATTTTTAAACTTAATTTGTTGAATGTTTGTAGAATGTGCCTACCCCCCCAAAAAATTAAAAATGCAGGGTTTTGACGAACAATGATAAGCTTCAGTGAAACCGAGAGACCCTGAGAAAGCAGGTACCAAAAACAAGACAAGAATGTTAAGCTTCTAAGAGATTATAACGGAGATGGGCAACGTCAGACCTCAAACTTTTGCGTCAGTCACTTTGAGAGATTACCACCTTCATCAGCTTTACAGTACAAAACCATAAGCAATTACAGTCTTTGTTTTGGATTTTCCATTCTACAGTTTTGGTTTTCATTCTTTAGCCATTTATAATGACTTCTTTTAGGAGTCCATTAAGGCTGATTTAAGTCGACTGGACTTGTGTGATTTTCATCAATCTACAACTTGTTAACTGATTTTAACAAGCGGTTTATTCTTCCAGTCATCTGCATTTGTGTCGTCCAGTCTCAGACAGGAAAATTCTACTTTTAGGAAGTGTTTTCATCATTTAAGGGACATTGGTCTCTTACCAAACTTTATATAAAGGCGATTACATGCATTAAGACTACGACTGTGGAGGAAATAGGGTTCGATTCTTAACACAAATACTCCAATGGGGTAGTTTTAGGTTAAAGTCATTGCAGTTGCAGCAGAAACAAGGAAACGTTTAGATAAAGTAAAATAATAAGAGTAGGAGAGTTGCCATTTGTTATTTTTAGGCTCAATTCTCCCTCTTGGTCCTTCCTTCTGCCTTTCCATTTCTCAAAAGAAATGGGACACCCTGCCTTTTGCAGCAGAACTGAGTGGTGTGGCCATGTTGGGAGGGTTGGGATTGGACCTTATTATCTTCTAGAAACAAAGGTTTGCATGACAGAATGTTTCCAAGTTTGTTTTTTTGTGATGGACAATAAAATTCTTGGCGCAGGATGTGATTAAAAGTACAACTTCACAAGCAATATGTATAACGCTAGAAAACAAAGACCATAGAAATTTTTGTTTTTTAAAAAAAATAAAAATCAAAGATGTCAGTTCTTTAAACGAACCTCCTCTTGTAGACTCATTAGTGTGAAATGCCTTTTTCAGAGCTCGAATGTTGTGGATCTAACCTTTAAATCCAGATGTGTGCAGCAGCTGTGATGCAGTAGATGTCGACTGGTGATGAATGTGCCACTGACGATACTGTGTGATGAGCATTCTGAGTGACACTTTTCTGAATTTAGTTGTTTTAAGGGAAGAAATGTTGTTTTGTCAGACTTTCCTTGAGGCTCCTGCAAAAATACAAACATTGCAAAGCACAAATGTTTCAGCCACGGGTCTCACAGATTTATATGAATATATACACACACCCTAAAAGCATCTCAAAAGATTGTTTCCCAGAATTTCCAGCACAAGCAAAGGCTTAATGTGAACTTTCTGCTTTACCAGTAAGCTGATAGAATTTTACCCATCGAAGCCTGAACACACTCTTAAGTGCTTTGTATGTTAACCCTTATGTGAACTAGAAAGTGTAATTGTGGTACATGTAGTACAAAGATGAGTTATTTTTCATATTGGCTGATTCCTTTAAAAAATAAAAATAACGGAACTGTATGAAAATCTCACAACCACTTTATATTTGCAAATTGTGTACAATATTCTGTAACATGTTTGTGAACCAAATAATTGCTTTCATAATTTTTATGAAATCATCAGCTTTATTTGTTACAGACAGATTTTTTTTTTTCATTATGGGTATTACTGTGTTTCTGCTGAGAAAAAGATTTAACTTCTGTTGAGACTTAAACTGAAGTTGTGTGAAGGGTACATTTGACTAACAACACAGTAGGTAGTTGGTTAATAAGATCAGGGGCATCTTGCCAAAGACACTTTTCTTTCTTCATAAGCATGTGTGGTTTTGCACATATTCTTTGAATGTTCTAATCGTAAGCCATTCATTACAACTAAGATTAATGTATGTTCACTAAACATGCTGAATTCAAGATGACTACTGTGTCTGTTGTTGTCATGAATGAGTGAAGTTTCTTTTTTTGAGTGGAAAACACTGACACAATGGGTTTAGAAAAGAACCCCATTTTAAAAACATTCCCATTTAGCAGCTTCAGAAGGCCTGAAATAACAAAAAAATGACAGAATTTATTCAGTCAATGCAACTTATAACATAAAGTGACAGAAACAAATAGCAACATTTCTGTAAAATAACAAAAACTCCAGGAGTTTCAGTTGATTTACGTGAATACTTTGTGGAACCAACTTTTGCTTTAATTTACAGCTTTGAATCTGGATGCTTCTCTGTCATCATTGTACATTCACATCAATATGTGGTTGAAGAATTGTCTAAGCTCAGTCAAAGTGAAAGAGATTCTAAGTTTAGTTTAAGTCTTGGTTCTTACAGGGGCACACAAAGACCTTTTCTTGCTCCAACCACTTAATGCTCACTTGTGTGCTTTAGTTCATTGTCATGTTTACAGGTGAACATTCAATTCAATTCAATTCAATTTTATTTTTATATCGCAGTTTAAAACATATGTCATCACACAGCGCTTAACATAGTAAGGTATAGATCTTACAAATTGAAACAGAGAACCCAACAATCCAAAGTAGCCTTTGGACCTATAAAACACACATTGATCAATCCCTGTTTCATAATGAAAGTGCAAATTGGAAGTGCAGGTAATTTACTGTTGACACTTTCAAAAGAGCTCAGAGATAAAGTGTTGGGAAAATACAAGTGTTTTTTTTTAAACAAAAAAAATGCTATCTTTAAATCTATTCAACAACAAAAAATAAAAAATAAAACTGCAAGGCGCCTTTAATGTGCTCAGCCTGTTTCCTTCATTTAAAAAAGTATGTATTAATACTTCTATTATTTAAGTGTTTCTGTCATTGTGGTTTTGTCTTGTTGACTAGAGTTGGACCAAATGTTTGTTTACTATTGTGGAGTTTGTCCTCTTTTGTCTGCACCATCCTTGACTGAATCAGTCACCTGTGGGATCCCTCTAGTGGCCAGAGACAAAATGATACAGGTACTCAGACCGAGATAGATAATTTATTGATTTAGAGGGAAATTCAAGCATCCAGTAGCTGAAAAATAGTGGCAAAAAAATAAATAAAAAATAAGCATACAGAAATAAATAACTAAAAAACGAAAAAGGATGCAATGTAAATTGTGGTGGTACATCTACAGCAGAGAGGTAATGTAGTTCTAAAAGGACTGAGCAGACTGAATGATATTGTAGTGCAAAGACAAAGACCTGTTAAAGTGATGATTGCAGCTATAACTACTCTATAATTATTCTGTTTCTTTGTGTCTCCACATCCTCAAGAAGGTGCAAGCCCACACGTGGTGGTGTTCTTTAAACCTCAAGCCCACTAACATAAACATCATTTACTTTTGCTTATAATTATATTTTGGTTATAATTCTTCTAAAGCCCTCCTTTATCATTATTTCCTTCCAAGCATGGGTGTTTTGAGGGACACCAGCAGTGCTCCTGTCACTTTCCTCGTTTACATCATCAGTTTTATTCATCAATATCCATACAACCATTTTTACCTGCTTGAAAATGTGGAAGGTCATAGCTCATGGGTCACTGGCTGGCTGCACCCTGGACAGGTCTCCAAATCTATCACAGGACCAACACAGAGATGCAGACAACCATGTACACTCACTCTATGTCTAATTTATAATTACTAATTAAGCAATTAATAATAAATACATCCTTGCATTTTGGAAAGAAGCTGGAGAACCATGAGAAAACCCAGGCAGGTACAGGGAAAACATGCAAACTCCACACAGAAAGGCCCCAGAGCCTTAAAGTTGTGAGACCACAATGCTGGATACAAATAAGAACTTACATGAAGAAAAATTAATACACCTACCAAGGTCCTGTGTACCAGATACTTTCCTCTGATCTTAAACAATTCCTGCAGCAAAACGATCAGTGCTGTTTTTTTCCTTAAAGGAATATATGTGTGTGTGTGTGTGGGGGGGGGGCACCGGGATCTTTCTGCATGGAGTTTGCATGTTCTCCCCGTGCAGCGTGGGTTCTCTCCGGGTTCTCCGGCTTCCTCCCACACAGTCCAAAAACATGTTGAGGTTAATTGGTGATTCTAAATTGTCCATAGGTGTGAATGTGAGTGTGCTTGGTTGTCTGTCTCTAAGTGTAGCCCTGCGACAGACTGGTGACTTGTCCAGGGTGTCCCCTGCCTTCGCCCTAAGTCAGCTGGAATAGGCTCCAGCCCCCCCGCGCAATTACGCACATGGCACAGCAGCGACAACTTCATCAACACTGGATCTGGATCTGACGGCAAATAATGCTTTGTGTTTCACGACACGTCCGACAGATCAGCAGTTTCACAAAACCCCCCAGGAATTATTTTTGTTTTACTGCTTCTCTGGATAAATCCTGACCTCCATCAGATCTGTCAAGTCATGTCATAGACACAAGTCATCATTACGCACAGACATGATATTCACTGGAACGTTCCAGCAGCTTAGATAAAAGTGGGCCACACATCGGATCTCTGACTGAAGATCACACTTTTGTCCATTCATCGTGACCAAATAAAACCATGTTTCATAATTTGAGGAAGTGAGGGGCGGAGCGAGCCGCAGAACAGGAAGACCGCTGCTCTATATGATCGGAGCTGGTGTGATTGGAGGAGAGAGTGTGGAGCTGCCGCTGACAGAAGCCGACCGAATTTTGCTGCACAAACGGTGAACTTTGCAAACTCCTGTAACGATGGCTGATGGAAAGAGGTAAGAAACAACGTTATCCTCGTCCGTTGTGCCATTTCCAAGTGGAGTTATAAACGAAACGAGCTGCGTTTGTCAGGTTTAAACTTCTACCTGTATCCTCAGTGTGACACGTGAACAGTTTAAACACTTTATATTAGTAGTAGTTTCGTTATTTACTTACTATTACGCACAATAGACTAACGTGTAACTTTATAACTCGTCGTTGTTTGTTGGTTTGCTTTGGCTGCAGCTAGCTAAACCGAAGTTAGCAGCAGCTAGCTAACAGCAACTTTAGTCTGACCGTTCATTTCATCAGAAGTTAACTATTGATTCATGTTTTTTTCTTTCAAGTGGGTGTGCAAAAGGTTTCTGTGATACCACCATTCACGTGGATGTGAAGGTAAAATAATGTGTATCATTAATCACGACTGTGTGTGTTAGCTTTAGCAAAACAGCTGTCAGCACTGTGGGCAAAACAAAACAAACTTCTTAAAAAAAGTTAAAATAAAATAAATTTAAACATCACTTCATCAACAGTAGATGCCGACTGGTGGTAAAGTGCATGGAGAACGACCACTGACTTAATTAGAATTAAATACATGGATGAATAAATATTAACATACTTAAATGAATGCAGTTTGGTGATCAAAAATGACTGATTAAATAAATCCATCCATTTTCTATACTCCGCTTAATCCTCATTAGGGTCGCGGGGGGGCTGGAGCCTATCCCAGCCGACTTAGGGCGAAGGCAGGGGACACCCTGGACAGTGATTAAATAAATGCTCTACATTTATTTTTACATATCCCAATATGTATTAACTTGTAAACAGTCTATTTCTATAATGTTGCATTTCTTAATATGTGCATTTTCGTTGGTTATTTCTGTATCTATATGCTAATGTCAGTTAAAAGTAGAATTTGATCAACTGCAAGAACCAGACCGAAACAAACGATTCCTATCAAAGACACATGACACAAGTTAGCAATGCTGACCTTCTGTTAACTACATGCAGAAACTCTGACTAAAGTTTGACCTCCTATATTCTTAACATACAGACAAACAATAATAATAATAGGTTTTTTTATTTACTTTAAGAAATGATGAAATAAATCATGTAGAACATACATAAAATAGGTGAATAAATGTAGACGTGTATAAATAAACAAACATGAAAATACATAAATGAATAAATGTAGTAATACAGAAATAAAAAAGTAAATTAATGAAAAAATGAAATACAGAAATAGCCTTAATTAAAGCTAGATGTATAAAAATGTCAAAATAATAACAAAAGAATCCTTTATTTGTGTCCTTTTTCCAAAATGTATTAATTTTTTATTCATTCGTAGGTATAAAGCTGTATTTTTGTGGTAATTTATTACTTTACACTTATCTACCTAAACCCTAGACTTTTTATGGATGAATTTGACCTCAAAAGCCTCCCCAAATCTAGTCATTAACAGCTGCAAAACTGTAAGACAGTCTGTCTTGGGCTCTATTCATAGAGGACACTTGGGTCAGTTTTGAAAAACAACAGTCTTTTCATTCTTATCACCAGTGCAGGATGAGATTAGATATTTTTAATTGTGGCCAATCAAAACTGTAAACTGGTAGTTAATGAACAGCTTTATGACCATGAATCTGTAAACACTGACGTTATATAATCTGTCATGTGGAGCTCTAGGAAATTGCATGCAACAGAAATGAAGCACAACAAATATTATGTTGGTTTTTATCAAAGTAGTACCAGGCAGTGATTGTGACATACTTGGCAACCTTTGAATAATGGTGCCTTAAGTTTGTGGTTTTTCAACAGATAAGGGGTCTGTTTTACAAAGCAGGTTGTCTGTTTACCCTGAAATAAGGGAGACTGAGTTTTCCGTTTCACAAAGAGCAGTAACTCAAACCAGATAACAGAGGGCTAACTCGAACCTGTTTCACAGAGAGCGATAACTTTAGACCTCGGTCAGTTACCATAGAAACAGACTCTATGAACCTAACCTGGTCAGGACAAGGTTTTTCTCTCTGTCTCCGCCCTCTTTCAGCCACACAAGCTATTTGATTTCCTCATTCATTCATTCAGTCAGCAGGCAAGTTTTGGCGTAGCCTAGTTCTGCCATCTGTCAAAAATCCTAAAAAAAATCAGAGTCAGTAGGCTGTATTAGAAGTCCATTAGGCACAGTAGGTGGTGACTTTTTCCACATGGCATGTACTTTTGATAACGATCCCATGGAGGAAGGTGCAGCATTACTGCGCAGAGAATTAAATATTCGTTGGGAGATGGTTTTCAGACCATGGATAGATGTGCTAGCATTTCCAGACAGTTCTCTTTTTGAGAGGTATCATTTAACGTCACAGTCCATTATCTAGATACACAACCTAATCTGTCCCTAGGTGTGCAGCATTACCAACCGTTCATGCTCTCACATCCCAGCAGATATTGTGTGTTGTGCTGTGTTTCAATTCAATTTTTTTTCAATTTAATTTTATTTCTATAGCTCAGTTTACAACATATTTCATCTCATAGCACTTGACATGGTAAGGT